CGCACAAGTAACTACGAAACCAATCAATCACCTCAGGAGATATGTTAAGAGAAGATAATATGGCAAGTAGGATATCAAAATCTACAGTATTGAAGGCATTACTGAAATCCAATAATGTCAATATGGTAACTTTCTGGCTGTTCATACCTTCTCTAATATCATCTGCAATTTTGACCAAGGCAGTAGTCGTACTATGACCGATGCGGAAACCGGATTGAAAGGGATTTAACAATTTGTGATTGTAAAGAAAAGTACTTAGCTGTCGGTGCACAAGTCGCTCCAGCACTTTCGACAAGAAAGGGAGAATAGAAATTGGACGATAATCGGAAAAAGAAGAAGGATTAGATTATTTCGGTATAGGAATTATTTGTCCATCTTTCCACTCTTATACTCTCTATAGGCTCTACTTATACTGGTAAAGTTGGTTTTGTCAAAGGCTCCTTCTATGTCAATGAAGGCGCCTAGGGTAGGTTGTTTCTGATTCAGCGAGCTCCCTATGCGAGATACCACACTGTGGAGTGCCGATTCCGTTGATTTGCCTGCACTGTAGGCATGTTGGTTGAGGTGTAGTGGGTGTTGGAGGGATATCTGACTCCTAATCTCTCTGTCCCCCAGTTTCTCCAGCGTCTTTAGGAAGAACGAGGTAAGGCTGATGGGTCTAAAGGATTTAGCCAAGGTGTAGTCCCCTCTACCTGGTTTTGGGATTAAAATTATCTTTACTTCTCTCCATTTCAATGGTATGTAGCGGTGTGCTATGCAGGCTTGGAACAGCGTTACCAGATAATCTGCTAAGATGTCCACGCTCCACTTTAGCAGCCCGGGAAAGATACCATCGAGGCCAGCGGCTTTGAAAGGGAGAAAAGTGTTTATTGCCCATATTGTCTTCTCTTTGTTAATTATGTTTTTGGCTGCGTTCCAGTCTGGACTGCTGGTAGCTCTCTCTTCGTAAGACTCCCATATTTGCGTGTTTGCAATTTGGCAGCCGGGGAAGTATGTTGTTAACAGCAGTTCACTGGTCTCCGCGTCTGTTCTGGTGTAGGTGTTGTCTGGTTTTTTAAGGCTGCCAATTGAGTTATCTGTCTCTTTAGAGAGACACGATTTCACTTTGATTGCCTGATTGTTATTTTCTATGCTGGAGCAAAAGTGTCTCCAGCATTCTTGCCTTCTGAGGCGTATGAGTTTTTTATAATGTTTTCTGGCTACCTTGTAGGCGTCCCAGTCGACCTGCGTTCGTCTATTCCTAGCCCTATTGAACAGTTTCCTGACTTTCCGACGTTGCCTCTCGAGTTCGGGGCACCACCAGTGTTGCTTCCCTCCCCATCTAGGTATGGTGAGGGGACAGGACTGTTCATAGCTCTCCAGGAGTAGTGTTGTGAGACTTTCTACATAGTTGTCTATGTCAGTTATCTTTAAGTTATTTGTTGTTGTAAGTCGATTACCTATCTCGGTGCTGATCAGCCTAACGAACTTAGATCGATCAGTCCTTTGTGGTAATCTTCTGGGTAATGGTTTGGGCAGGTTCATGTCGACGGTGAAACGTATCCATCTGTGGTCCGAACAGGATAGTTCTTTGGACACATGCCAGTTATGGATATAGTTCGACAAATCTGTCGTTACCATAGTCAGATCAATTATGGTCTGTGAACGAGCGTTTATGAATGTTGGTTCTGAGCCTTTGTTGAGTAGGGTGAGGTTGTTACTAAAAATGAAGTTAAGTGTATCCTCACCTCGAGTGTTACAAGTGGCATTCCCCCATAGCGTATGGTGAGCGTTGGAGTCTGCCGCGATGATTAGGTCCAGCTTCTCCCTCTCACAGTACTCAACCAGTGAGTTGAGTTCTGGAGTCGGTGTGTCCTCGTCACTCGGCAGGTAGGCGGAGGCAAGGACAATGTCGGGGAGTTGCTGGTCGGTTCTTGGTAGTTTTATTACTGTTAGGTCCCTTGAACATAAATCGTTTATTATTAAGGTTGTTACATGTTTCGGCATAAATATGCAGGTTCTTGGATTACTTACGGAAGTATCGAGTAGTATCTTTCCTCCCATATTGCCAAGACCACATATTCGGCCATTCCTTATCCACGGCTCTTGGATTAAGGCTATGGTCTTCGGGTTGATTTCCAGCACTCTGCGTAAAGATGCCGTCGCAGTTTGTCTGTGCTGGAGGTTTGTCTGGATGAAGTCAACAGTCCGGGATAGGGGAGGAACAGAGACAGCCGTCGCTGAGTTCACTCCCCCCCCGTTTCCGGAAAGCATTCTTCATCTGTAGTGTTTGGCACTGGTGATGGAGAGTGTGTTACTTCCATTGCAACCGGGGCCCCAGTTTCCTCGGTGGCTGGCACAGCGACTTCCATCGGAATTGCTGGATGCACAGGCTGTGAGGGCTCTGGTTCCGGTGCCATGGGAGCGGTGGTGGCAGTAGCATCATCCTGTATGGGGTCCTCCTTGTCCAAAAATCGGACGTAGATATTCCCCATGAGGTAGTAAATGCGCCTGTCTTGTTCCTTAAGTGTTTTGATGTCGGTCTCCGGCACACGGAAGAACAGTTGGGTTCCTGGTGGATCCTGTTTGCTTCTCTCGTGTGTCAGAGACCAAGACTTCATGTTGAGGTGGCGGTTCTGCCTCGCGAGAAGTCTTCTCAGCATCTCTGTGTCCCCGGTGTGTCCAGGAACATAGAGCATGCAGGGAATCTTCCTCAGTATTGCCGATTGAGGCAGCACCACCAGTTTGAAGTCTGGTGTTGGTGACGTAATGTTGTTCACCGTTCGGGTTAGCCAGCCTAATGTGAAGGCATCCTCGCACCATGTTTTGAGGACGCCGTCGGCGAAGTGTGCCCTACCCCGAAACCGGATATCGTTTGGCTCCGTTTGAAGGGTAGCTTCAGGGTCAGCCATAAGGTCATCCCGTAGCTTCCCCTCGATAGTAGCGCGGATGTCCTCTGCCTGTGCCTGTGTCATTTCCGAGAAAGGCTCGGTCATGACGGCAACACAGAGTTCATTAGTTCTATAGTCATTGACTGTCCACCATCTTGGCATTTTAGATGATGAACTCGCAAGGACATGACCTCACCATCCCTGCAATAAAGCGCCTGGAGGTAAGTAATATAATAATAATAGTTGAAGACGTATTAAACGCAGCTGTAATATAAAATGTTCTTTAATTATAAAATATTTAAAATAAAAATAGCTCTTTCTTTAAAATCGATTTGTAATATTGTATGTACATATGTATTCAGGCCTTTTTAACGTCCCACTGTTGGGCATGGGCCTCCCATAATACGAGGGGGATCAGGCCATAGTCCACCGCGCGGGCCAAGTGCGGGTTGGCGGACTTCACATGTCTTTCGAAAACTTGCAAGGTTCTCTCAGACATGCAGGTTTCCTCACGATGTTTTCCTTCACCGTAAGGCAAGTAGTAAGTAAGTGGCAATCGTGTTAGGAATGATTCGCACGTGAAAATATCGGAGGTGCGAGACCCGGGATTTGAACCCGCTTTATTTGGTTTTCCAAGCGAGCGCGTTACCATTGGGCTACCACTGGCTACTTATTTGTAATATTACAAGGAGGTAAATCGATCGGATCGGATCGGAGGTAATCGGATAAAAAGACAAGCATATAGTCAGCCAAAGATCTGTTTTTTTTTTTGAAAATAAGTAATAAATAGAATCAAATGTCAATCACAACACATGTATTGAAATGAATTAAGAAGAATATGAACGATATTTTTTACTGGAACATAAAATAATATCGTAATACGAAATCATAAATATAAAAAGTGTTTCAGATAAAACGAGCTAATATGTAAATAAGTATGCAACAATGGATGCTGCATCCCTTTCATAATGAATCCTTTAATGGAACAATGGTGGTTTTAATTTGTTTTATAACCGTTTGTGAATCTGAAAAGTTTTGCAAAAAGGAGGTTTAATAAAAAGCATACTGGAGATTGCGTTCTCCAGAATAATAATAAAAGAACTCTATTTTGGTTAAGGTTAACATCATAAAGCCAAAGAGTTTTTTCTTGTAGATTTAACGCGGGTGTAGCCGCGGGTTCTGCTAGTATAAAATAACCACAAAATTTTCAAAATATACCTAATATACAGCTATGCAATATGCTATCAATAAAGTCGTATAATTTAATTTAAATAAATACAAAATAACAGTAATGTAACAATTTATTAATATGAATGAAATAAATACGCATGTCCAACAAAGATTTTATTTTCTCTTCATTGTGGTATCAAAAGAGTCACTTTCACACTCGTTAAGGGCTTCTGATTTCTGATTCAATCGGTATTCTTGACAAAAAATTAATACACGTAGGTATGAATGTATGAAGTATACGTGTCAATATATATGCTGGTAATACTTGTGTTCCAATAATATCTTTATGTAAATATTTTTAAGGGTTTCACTTACTTATTTAATGAAATAATTGAACAAGCAACTCACAAAAAACAAAAATAAACCTATCCCACGAGAACCTTTTATTATTTTATATATTACGGGATAAAAGGAAACCTGTGCTATTCCAGACTATAATCTATCTCTGTGCCAAATTTCATCCAGATCCGTTCAGCTGATCTGGCGTGATTGAGTAACAAACATCCATCCAAACTTTCGCGTTTATAATAATAATGGGATGTTACGTGGTTTTTTTGCCAACTTGATAAGTTAATGATTCTTTTTTAATAAAGAGTTATATCCAAGGGTAGTATCATATAAATTAAAAAAATGAATATTTGAATTTTATATACCTCACATAAATAATTTTGAAGTCACATCAAGCTTTGTAGCAAAAAGAATTTTTTCCCTAAATGAAATGAAGTACTGCAAGATCTTCTGGAACGTGTAGGGATTGGTAGAAAGTTAAAACGGGAACGAAGGTAAGGAGGGAAATTTTATACGGTTGTATTAGGCCTAAATTTTTGCTCATCTCAGGAAGAGTAAGAGATCTAGTTGTTGTATTTAGGAGTTTCTCATAGTAAGCGTGCCATGCTGCTAAGATGCTTCGTCTGAATACCTTATTGCCCCGTCACAACCTTTGATGGCCCTTGTTTTCACTGGATCTTCTGATGCCTTACTACGAGACTTAGAGAGTTTAAATATTTCCTTTTGTCCGTCTCTACTTTCCAGTGTGTTGTATAAAAATCCCAAGACTTTTCTCCTTTCAATGGCTACAGTTTTCTTTGTCCTTTTCTTTGCTGTTTTATACACATCTCTATCTTTCTGTGACCTTGTGGACTGCCAGATTTTGAATGTTCTTTTCTTTTCTTGTAAAGCTATTTGCTTTGTAGGATTCCACCACCAGGTTTCCCTCGATGACTTTTTATCTGGTTTAGTGCGGCCTAGGATCCTGTTTGCTGCCTTCATTATCTGTGCATATGCTTGTTGCCACATCAAGTTCACGTCAACATCCATACTTATAGTCATGTCTTCCATATCTTGTCTAAACTCGTCAGCCTTGTCACCTTTTAGAAGCCACCATTTGGTAGTCTCTGGTACTTTTTGAGGTTTGGAGGCAGATTTCTGATGAAAAATCATATCCATGACTACAATACGATGTTGTGAGATGACACATTCACCTGGGATCACTTTGCAGTTCTTTATTCGACCAATATTTGCTCTGTTCGTTAATATGTAGTCTATCTGTGTACTATTTTATTTATTTATTTATTTATTCATTTATCAAATACAAAAATCATTTATACAAATCTAAGACACTCGTACTAAGTGAACTTGTATTACGAGCGTCTTGCCTTCCATGTTGAACAATATGTATAATTAACACCAACATTATTCACAGTAAAATAGCATGCATTAAAAATTTATACTATTAAGGATAATTAAAAAATATTAACAATAATTCTAATTATATGTGTATAAGTGTAATGTATGTGTATGTGTGCGTATGTGTGTATGTGCGTATGTGTGTGTGTATGAGTTATGTAAGGATATGTCCTATAATTGTGTGAACATGAGTGTGAGTATGTATTAAACAATCTGTTTCAAGTTAGGGATTTTAACAGGTCTTCTGTTTCATCATAGGTAAGACTCTTAAGCCATGAGGTAAGAATGATTTTTGCTCTGGGACGGGGCTTGCAACTGATATTAATTAATTTATTTATTTTATTATATAAATGAGCTCCCATTATATTAGGTATACAACTTTGCTTCCGCCGTTTTTTTTCAAAATTCAAATCTTTATTGTAAAAAAACTGATTATACATTTAATGTTTCAAAGTATCGTCCATTGTTTTCCACTATTTTTGTCCACTTTTCTGGCGACAATCGGATCCTGTGTTGAAAAAAACTGGTCATCTTTTGAAGCGATCCATGAATCCATCCAATTTTGGACTTCTTCATAAGACTGAAAGTACTAGTCCGTCAGGCCGTGTGCCATGGACCGGAATAGGTGATTGTCAGAGGGAGCAAAGTCTGAAGAGTACGGCGGGTGGGGTAAGACTTCCTATTTCAACTTTTCTAAGTATGTTTTGACAACTTTTACAACACGAGGCCGAGCATTGTCATGTTGCAAAATTACTTTATCATGTCTTTGAAAGGATTGCGGCCGTTTTTCCTTTAAATGCTTGGCTGAAACGCATTAATTGCGTTCGGTAAAGATCTCCTGTGATTGTTTGAGACGGTTTTAACAGCTTATAAAATATTATAACGAGCTGATCCCACCAAACACAGAGCATGACCTTGAAGCCGTGAACATTCGGTTTAGCCATAATCGCAGAAGCTTGGCCGGGATATCCCCATGATTTTCGGCGCTTGGGGTTATCGTAAAAACCCATTTTTCGTTACCAGTCACAATGCGATGCAAAAATTGTTTCCGTTTTTGACTTTCAAGCAGAAGTTCACAAATACAGTATCGTTCAACATCTCTAGGCTTCAACTCGTATGGCACCCAATACCCTTGCTTCTGGATCATTTCCAGATTGTTTAGGCGTTTTGAAACTGTTTTTTGGCTCACTTGCAATGATGTTGCCAGCTCCTCTTGACTTTGACACGAGTCTTCATTGAGCAAATGCTTTAATTCCTCATCTTCAAAAACTTTTGATCTTCCACCGCTATGCCGGTTTTCTACGCAAAAATCACTGCTCTTGAAGCATTGAAACCACTCACAACATGTTCTTTTACTTATAGGAACTTCACCATAAGCGTCTGAGAGCATTCGGTGAGCCTCAGCCGCAGATTTTTTAATATTAAAAAAATAAATTAACACTTCCCGCAAATGACGACAATTAGGCTCATAAGTTGACATTTTTATTCGAAAATAACTATATGATGTAAACACAAATCAACTACTGTTGGTATATAAGTTCAATGTTAGCAAGTTCTTTGTAAGCCATTCATTTACAATACTGACCGCGAGTTCAGCATGAAGGCGCGCACTTTCCCAGTCCTTTCCGTAAGTAAGTAAAACTGTATCATCTGCGTATGTTACAATTTTTGTCTTTGGTAGTGACAAATTACAAAGAGTATTTATATAAATCAGGAAAAGAGTAGGCCCGAGCACGCTTCCCTGCGGAACACCGTAGCTTATGAACTCGTCTTTGCTAACATTTGAACCAATTTTCACTCTTTGTGTTCAGTGTGATAGGTAATCTTTGAATAGATTCAATACGTTGCCTCTAACGCCAACACTCTCCAACCTTCCCAAAAGAACAGGAATAGGAACTGTATCGAAGGCTTTTTAAGATCAATGAAGATCGCTATAGTTTTATTTTTAGCTTCTATGTTGTCAACTATATTGTTCACTAAAGTGATAATGGCATCTTCCGTGGAAATCCCCTTTCTAAATCCAAACTGTTTTTCAGAAATGATGCTATACTTATCAAGATAATTTATTAGACGTTGGTTAATGAGTTTTTCAAGTATTTTAGATAAAATAGTCAGTACAGATATAGGTCTATAATTGGAGATTTTGTCCTTATCACCATTTTTGTATATTGGATGAATTATAGCTTTCTTAAATGCTTGTGGAAAAATGCCCTGTGAGAAAGATATGTTACAGATGTGTTTTAAGCATGGAATAATTAAGTGCTTGATAGACTTTATAACACTGACTGGGATACCATCCCACAATTATTCTTAAGCCCTGATATTACAGCGTCTAATTCCTGCTCGTCGGTATCAAACAAAACCATTGAGTTACAAGGTTGGGCAGTGTTGGCGCTTTGGAGCAAGAATGAGTTTGACTTTTGACTTTTCGCCAAAAGAGGAATAGCTAGTTTACTACCTATTTTTGAAAAGTACTCATTGACATAGTTGACAGATGTTTGGGGATTTGAGATGAGTGTTAAAAGCTCATTGGGAGGAATACTTTGTGGCTGTAGATGGGAGATATCTTTGAGCACGTTCCAAGTTTTCCTTGAGTCACCCTTAGCTTCCAAAAGTCTATTTTTATCGTATTGTCTCTTAAGTTTCCTTAACAAATTGTTACAAAAGTTGCGATATCTCGTGTATGCAAGCTTAGCAATCATACTGTCTGGATACAATCTGGCTCTTTTATGTAATCTGTCGCGGTTACGGATGCATCTCAGAAGTCCCGGTGTGATCCAAGGTTTTATTATATATTTCTTACTTGAGATTTTTCTCAGTTTGGTGTTATTTTCTATTGCATCAGAAATAATACGAATTAGTGTGTTAGTCGCTGTGTTTACATTAGTGTCAGCCAGTATCGATGAGAAATCAGTCTTACTGAGTTGTTCTATAACAGCTTTGATATTAGTGCATTTCACATCAGATCTTTGATATGGTGGTTTAGAAAAGACTAACATGAAAAACGGTCGATATAGTATCTAAAAAAACTAAAAAGTAACTTATTTTTCTAATTTAAAAGATCAAAGACTAATTATTGTTAATTTCAAATAAGACTTCATTAAATAATACATAATTTCTTATAGATTTACTAATAATAATAGATTTTTAAACATTTACATCGACTCGTGAAAATAATGATCGAATAAAAAAAAAAGAAGTTAATCAAGAACGATCATAATATTTCTTGGGTGGAAGTTTTAAATAAAGATCCATGTATTATAATCAGCTTTATTTTATATTAAGTTTTACAAACAGACGACGTGGTTTTTAAATCAGAGATTTTTATGAAGAATCAAGTATTTGCAACAGATTATAAAGATAATAAGCTACGTATAGTCTACATATAAACGTCGAAGGCAATATGATAATTACCAACAATATTGGCAACTTTAATAGCTATGAAGTAATTAGATATACATACTCGTAATTCGAATACTTTTGTTTTTTTTTTTAATTCTGCTGTTTTTTTTTTAAATCTGTTCACCCACCAGGCCTTGATCGTTCACTCGTGTGTGCTTCGATATCAGCACATTGTCAAAGCAGCACCAAACATTACTCACTATACTAATGTATATTGATGACCATATTTTAAGGAACGCAATGTAAAATATATAATCGGGTCACGTATGCCGTTTTTTACCGGTGTGAAATAAACCGCAGTGTGCGATTTGAATATAATTTTACACTGAATAGTCACCGGTCAAGGAAAATTGTTGGTAATTGTTGGGTGAACACTTTCGCTTAAAATAATTATTATATTTTCACTGGTTTATCCATCAGACCACGACAGATAACTGTTATGAGTTTCTGTCCATTTTTTCTAAAAATATAAAGATAGGATGCTGCGAATAGCTAACGTTTAATTTATATGGCCAATGTATATGTTATACTAGCAACTCACCCTAGCTTCGTTCGGGTTCGTGAAAAATAAAAACAAATTATCCCATGGGAACCGTACATTTTCCGTAATAAAAAGTAACTGCTATAATTCCAGACCATAATGTCTGTGCCCAATTTCATCTAGACCCGTTCAGCTGTTCTGGCGTGATTGAGTAACAAACATCAATCCAAACTTTCGCATTTATAATATTTTAATAATTAATAATGGGATTAATGAATGTATGTACATATATTTATTTGTTCAAAACGAGAATCAAACTTGCGATATAGAGTACTAGAATTTATGTTACTCGTATAGTCACAGTGTTATAATAAGAGTAGAGTAAGGAAACAATGTTGGCAAATGGCAAGCCTTTCGGCGATGAAAAATACATCGATCGCATTTTCAAATGTGACATAATGCGCATTTCTATATAGAATTCACTTACATACGGCTAGATTCCAGGTCTATAGTTTGACTTTGTACCAATACCCTGAACAGTCAGCGTTGAATATTTTCTTTATTCTACTTTAGTGTCCTGCTTAATGGTCGAAATGTTTTTTTTATTGATAACACTAACGCTTGCAAATAGCTACTAAACAAAAAAAACGGTTGAGAAACAGAAGAGAAAAAGGTACTAACCTGTTTTGTCTTTGCCTATTTTTATATTAGTTATATATATATATAAAGAGAGAGAGAGAGAGAGAGAGAGAGCGAGAGAGAGAGAGAGCGAGAGAGAGAGAGACTATATTATGCCCTACAAATACGTAGAACGTGAATAATTCAATTCTTTATTATGTGTGGTTTTAGGCGTGCCAGTTGGGCACAGATTACTTCGCCAATGTCATGTAGAATGGATAAGACACGCTTGAACGCTGATAATAATTATAATCGGCGATTATTATTATTAAACGTTCCTTTCGATAGTGTAAAAAAGTCCAACTGATATGTAAACTCAATTAACACTTTGCATGGGCACAATTATAGTTAAGCTTAAAAATAAATAAATTAAAATAAATAAATAACCTAATTTTCCATTATAGAAAATATTCCTTTGTCTACTTTTTAACGATATTACATTTATATCACTTTTATAGAAAGTTGATGTGTTGCAAAATGGTGTCTGTCTGTTTGTCTCTTTGTTATGTTTTCATGATTGAAAATCCAGATTTTCCACTAGATTACGGATAGATTTTTTACATTTGCTAATCAATACATTTTAAATTAAAAATGTCAATATTTTATTACATAATATAACAAACAATCAATTTAAATGACATCAGATTATATTTTTTTTTCTAGTCACAATTTCATATGTAGCTTTCTGCTTTCTATTCATAGTAGGTTCTTAAATAAACTAGTAGTCTATGTAATGTGCTTCGGAAGCATTTCAACGAGAAGCAATTGATATAATCACAGTGCCGGCTGTAATGCGGTAATATTGTCGTTACGACATGGGAAATAGCTAGAAAATTAATCGACTATTATTATCTATTTTAAATTCGTTAAGTTTTTACCTTTCGTGCTTTTCTGAGTTGTAATATTTAGTAAATGGAAAAATTTTGTGTGGGTGCAGTACCAGTTCGCGAGATTAGACGAGAGATCGAGACGACACGTTTGGCTCAGTTTGTAGTGGCCCTACTTGCTGTGCCAGCGGTTGCGGGTTCGAGTCCCGCTGGGGGCATTCATTTGTGTGATGAGCACGAATGTTTGTACTCTAGTCATGGGTGTTTATATTTATAATATATATATATATATTTAAAGTTATATATGTGTAGTGTATTAACTATCTGGTATCCATAACACAAGCCTCGTTCGTAGCTTACCATGGAACTAGGTGGTGCTGTGTGTTAATGTCCCAACATATTTATTTATTGAAGTGAAACTTCTTTAGAATTGTTGTGATTTGAAACTCGATGCAACGGAAATGCGACAGTAAAAAGAGACAAACATATAAATATATAGGATTAAGCCGGCGATAGAAAGAGATAGAATACATTGCGATGATGCCATGGTAACCGTTGTTATTTGATAGAATACATTACACAGGAAGTGAAAAATAATAAAATTCATTACTGATTATTATGTAATGTTTATATTTATGTCAAATAAAATGTAAAATAACTTTTAAACTTGGTAAAAATAATATAAAAAAATCCTTATGATTATCCTACTCCTGATACTCTATATTCATATCATTTTCTGAAGTTTCACTTCTACGATGTGTGAATTGCACACACTCTTTTGAAGTGAAACTTCTTTAGAATCGTTGTGATTTGAAACTCGATGCAACGGAAATGCGACAGTAAAAAGAGACAAACATATAAATATATAGGATTAAGCCGGCGATAGAATGAGATAGAATACATTGCAATGATGCCATGGTAACCGTTGTTATTTGATAGAATACATTACACAGGAAGTGAAAAATAATAAAATTCATTACTGATTATTATGTAATGTTTATATTTATGTCAAATAAAATGTAAAATAACTTTTAAACTTGGTAAAAATAATATAAAAAAATCCTTATGATTATCCTACTCCTGATACTCTATATTCATATCATTTTCTGAAGTTTCACTTCTACGATGTGTGAATTGCACACACTCTTTTTTTTTCACTTGAGCGAAAATGGCCTCCCGAAATCGCAACACATTTTTGTATACCTAATACTACTTTTTACCCGCGGCTTCGCTCAAGTAGGTACCTTTAGATCCGATACGATTCCAGTATGCAATCCATCTCGCCTTTAATCGAAATCTGTTCAGCGGCTTAAGCGTGGAAAAGTAACAGATCGAGTTACTTTCACGGTTATAATATTAGTATGGATCTTTCTTCTGGAGTTCTGTAATTCTTTTATTTACAATAGACACCCTCCGACACCTACAGTTTTGCTATAATTATGCCTCGATTGATAATAATGGACTGCGTGTTGTTATTTTATCTCCTGTTTTTATTTTATTCTTTTCAGAACTACTGTTTTATATATATTTCTTTACTATTTTGATATAAAATATAAGTATAATAAAAAATTAAAATGAAACTTCCTAGTAAAACGAAACGCGTGGTCCTAAAACTTCTTTTTAGGGTTCCGCAGCCATTAGATTAAACTTTTTGGTGAACTTGTATAGCAGGTTTTGAGCATGATAAAGAAGTAAAACTGACAAAAGCATATAATTATATATTGATTATATTATTTCAGGACGGTATGCACCATCCAGAGGTGACGATGATGATAGATATAGACGGACAGGAGCATGTTTTGGATCTGCGGCTCAATACTGACCTCGTGGCCGGAGACCACGTCATCAGCTATCAAAAAGATGGTGAGACGGTTCTTCATAAACCTACGAAAGAGGTGGGTTTCGTTTGGTCATTACATATTCATATTTACACGTACACAGTATTTAAACAGTAAAGTATGTTTGTCAACTCAATTTTTTTTCTACGAACTGAGTTTTTTTTGTAGAGAATGTGGACTAAGGAGATGCACACTTTTGATCTCTATGTATTTTTGTTTTCAGTTGAATATTTATTACTAATTTTTTAAAAGTGATTTATAGCCTTACTATTTATTATTTGTTCAAATAATAAACAATACGGAATGCGCATGATTTTTTATTTTTTATACAATAGCTTACATCGTTGCATAATTGAACAAAAAATATCCAGCTCCAAAAAACTAAAATTTACTTAGTATATATTTTATTAATTCGCTACGGATACTTTAAAAACTCGCCATTTCGCGCGCTTGGCGTGACGCCACAGTATGTTATACACAGAGAAATGACGACTCAATTTGTAAGCGATAAAATCGCTAATCGCTCTGTTATGATATACTCTGACGTCGTATTCGGTCTGACCAATGGCGTGCGTTTAATTACTTTAAATTTTTAACCTGTTTGTACACTTTTGAATAATTATACGTTAAAAAAGATTAACATAGGCTTAAATCAAAAGCAATAAAGATTATATATAAAAAAAAATTCACCTTTATTTAAATCACACGCATATTCCGTATTATGATTGTAGGTATAGTTACTTTTTCTGGGTAGAATTGCTACTTTTACTAAATTTTAAATAAATTCGCTGATAAGATTTTTGTATACAATGAATATTATTGCATTGAACACTGTCGTGTGATATTGCTAACCATAGTCTTCGTAGTCCTTTTCTCTACCTTTCTCTTCTTAACATCTCTAGAAGAAGATGGACTTACTAAAATTACCTAAAATCTTCTTTTATTGAATAACTAGCATTGCCCGCGGCTCTGCAAGCGTTCGAACGACAATAAACCAATCCGTTGATCCGATAGCTGCCAAACTTCACAGAATCACCCGCTGGGCTAATCTGAAGATTGCCTGAAAATTTTGGAATCTATAGGGAACATACATACACACATCGATTTTTATATATATTGATATTTTTAATAACCCTCGAAGGACATGTTCTTAGTGCAAGTACATAATTTTTTTTCATTTACTGGATACTCTTCCAGGAGCTAGATATCTGCCAGTACTCGGGAACGGTGAGGGACAGGAAGGGCTCGTGGGCGGCGCTATCGACGTGTCACGGGGTTAGAGGCATCATACACGATGGGAAGCAAATGAGATATATTGAACCGGCGGAAGGTATAATATTTATTATATATATATTTCTATTTGGTTTTACCATGGACGAAGTGGCTATTTCGTTCATGGGTTTTACATATTAATGTTTCCTTTTAATTGTCACTTGTCAGTGAATAAAAAAGATCTTTTGTGCTGGAATTTTATAAACATTCGGCTTATGATATTTTTATGATACTAAGCATTTCAGTTTGAATTTTAATAGTTCTTCTTTCCAAAATTGTCAAAAATCATCACATAGCAATTGTTTGACGATGGAGGTTTGTATAATACTTTCTTAGATTTACGCGAATGTTTGACATTTTTAAATAAAACTATCTTTTCGGATTATTTCGCGGATTAATTTTGATTTTTGGTTCCCGAAGTTTCGAATGCTTTACAGCATCCATGGTCACGGGAGAGACTGAGGTGTTTGTTACATGTCTTGAAGGTATAGTTGTTACAGACAGCCCACTAACAATTAACAAAATGAAAATTGCACCAATTACATTACAATATTTTTTAACTTTAAACATTTTTATAATTTTAATTACAATTGAATATGGAATATTATTTATTTAATTTTTGCTATTATTTTTATAATTATTACAATTTTAAAAATATTAATTAGTAATCTATATTTAGTGTTGCCATTATTATATTTATAACCATAAAGAAAAATATAAAATATAGTATTAATTATTTAAGCCATATAATTGTTCTATGTGTAATTTAAAAAGTTAAAATTAATTAAGGATAATCATTTTAATTTAGTTTGCTATTATTTAAAAACAACTTACTAAGCAACACTTTTACTGTATACTTTTAAAAATGAAAAATGAAAAATGAAAAATATCAATCTGATAAGCTGTCATTTTGATCTACACAGTAAGAACTTACTACATCTACCTGTCTGTTATGTTTATATTTATTATTTGATTTTATTATATTAATAACAGGATCCCATGACGATGGTAGTACCCAGCCATCTTTCCTATTGAAATTTGGATGTTTTTTAATTTCTATGGCTTCACGAATCATTCTAGGGCGATATCGGTTTTCTTTCGCCAGGATTTGAGGTCTATCGAAGCGAATATAATGGCTTGGGCGGTCCTGGCTATGTTTGCAGACAGCAGATGTTGTATTGCGACGGTGCTTCACATCAGCTATGTGTTCTTTGACCCGGGTTCTAATGGATCGCTTTGTTTGTCCAATGTAAGAGAGCCCACAATCACAATCAAGCTTGTAAACTCCTGCATCTTGTAGAGGGATGTGGCACTAGACAGGTGGTAAGAACTGACTAATTTTCTTTGGCGGCTTGAAGTAAGTTTTAATTGAAGCTCGCTTTAGAATGTAGCCAATCTGTCAGTGATTCCTTTCATGAATGGCAAGATTGCAGGGACGCGCTCGACTGTAGCTGGTTTCACTCGGTCACAGTGACTGTGGTCAGTGGGGATTGTGGGCTCTCTTACATTGGACAAACAAAGCGATCCATTAGAACCTGGGTCAAAGAACACATAGCTGATGTGAAGCACCGTCGCAATACAACATCTGCTGTCTGCAAACATAGCCATGACCGCCCAAGCCATTATATTCGCTTCGATAGACCTCAAATCCTGGCGAAAGAAAACCGATATCGCCCTAGAATGATTCGAGAAGCCACAGAAATTAAAAAACATCCAAATTTCAATAGGGAAGATGGCTGGGTACTACCATCGTCATGGGATCCTGTTATTAATATAATAAAATCAAATAATAAATATAAACATAACAGACAGGTAGATGTAGTAAGTTCTTACTGTGTAGATCAAAATGACAGCTTATCAGATTAATATTTTTCATTTTTCATTTTTCATTTGTAAAAGTATATAGTAATAGTGTTACTTAGTAAGTTGTTTTTAAATAATAGCAAACTAAATTAAAATGATTATCCTTAATTAATTTTAACTTTTTAAATTACACATAGAACAATTATATGGCTTAAATAATTAATACTATATTTTATATTTTTCTTTATGGTTATAAATATAATAATGGCAACACTAAATATAGATTACTAATTAATATTTTTAAAATTGTAATAATTATAAAAATAATAGCAAAAATTAAATAAATGATATTCCATATTCGATTATAATTAAAATTATAAAAATGTTTAAAGTTAAAAAATATTGTAATGTAATTGGTGCAATTTTCATTTTGTTAATTGTTAGTAGGCTGTCTGTAACAACTATACCTTCAAGACATTTAACACCTCAGTCTCTTCCGTGACCATGGATGCTGTAAAGCATTCGAAACGTCGGGAACCAAAAATCAAAATAAATCCGCGAAATCATCCGAAAAGATAGTTTTATTTAAAAATGGAAGTTTGTATAAGAAATGGAGTTAATTTACAAGTTACCATTAAACTTATAAAATAGAGGCTTAGGTATGTTACGATAAAACTGAAGAGTTTGATATTTTTGGTCTAACGTGCTAATGACCATAAATACCTGTCAGATTAAAAAATATATATGTTTTTTCATTTTATAACCTTTTTATTGAGGAAAGTTTAAAATAATTTTATATCACGCTGCGTACCTCAGAAGTAAGTAGCGTTATTATACAAATATAATGGCTTCCTCGCTGGACGCCGTAGCGAGTGGACGTGTGTCGACTGGTGTTAGTAATTTTAAATTGCATTTAATGTGATTGGTGTTTCACAGTTTAAATGTGTTTCCTTGTTACTCTTACGGCATTGACATTAGCTGATGAGACTAGTAGATGGCCCCAGAAAGGGATGTATATGTTCGCTCAATAACATTCGTAAAAATCTTAAGTTATTGGACTGTGATTTGAACCTGCAGCTCTGGAAGGAGGAGCCGAGCGCTTATACTTCTGCGCTGCCTCAGCGCTGACGACGATACTCTAAATAGCGTTAAGTTACGAGCGATTGACGTCTCTCGAGTGCGCTACGGACCTACGGTGCAATTGACTGTGCTACGACGCAGTGATACGTGCTACGCATGCCACGCCTATAGTGTTATACGCTACGTGATGACTAAATGAATGAGATCCGTCCGTGTGAGAGGCGTGCAAAAAACATTTAACTGTTTCTTTATTAAAAAATAAAGAAACAGTTAAATGTTTTTTCGCCTGGACATAAGCATATAAAATTTTCAATACTCAGAGTCTATAATATACATAGGACATGGCAAATGTACAACGCACACCACCCCAAAAACCCAAAACACCACAAAATTTACCGGCTCACCAAACAATGACGCAATCGGAACCTGACATCAACTTAGCGATTCAAATGAGTGAAAATGTTAACACAAGCAGGAATAAGCGTCCCCGCCACAATAATTCACCACAAACCGGACAGGTCTCGGCAGTAAACAGTGGCTTTAACCTACGAGATTTACAAGATACTCTAGCTGAGTGGAAAACAGACCAAGATACATGTATTTCGAAAATGTTTGGTGAACAGACTGCCCTCATAACTAGCCTAATAACAGAAATAAAAGATATAAAAACTCAAAATGCCCAAATAAAAAAGTCAAATACGGAAATTTGCAATTCTAATGCTGAGATTGTGCAATCCATTTCTTTTATGAACAACAAATTTAAAGAAATGAAAAAAGAAATCGAAGAACTAAAAAAAGACCGACAAGAACAAAGAATTTACATAGAGAGCCTGGAAAGAAAGATAAATGACTTACAGCAGAAAACACGATCGTCGAGTGTTGAAATTCGCAATATACCGCAAAACGAATCGGAGACTAGTTCAAGCCTTATACAAACGGTTTGTAGCATTGGCAAAGTCGTCGGGGTACACATCCCTCCATCAGATTTCCGTGACATATATCGTTTACCTGGGAAGCCTAACAACTCTGCTACTCCTCGCCCAATTATCGCCGAATTTACAACTGTGCAAACTAAACAAAAAGTAATTTCTTCTGTCCAGTCCTTCAACAAAACCAAAAAATCTAGGGATGACAAAATTAATACAGAAATCATCGGCATTGCGGGGAAGAGACAGCCAGTGTATATAACCGATAAATTATCTCCTAGCACTAAGAAGCTGTTCTTTATCGCACGAGAATTTGCCAAGAAAAACAACTTCCAATTCTGTTGGATTTCCAATGGTAATATCTTGCTAAGAAAGCAAGTGGGCGAAAAACAGATTCTAGTGAACAACGAAAAATGTCTCAATGACATCCTCCCTACCTTGTGACTAGTTAACGTAAAATCTTTTAATTTTCTCAAATTTCTATTTAAAGCATGTTTTACTTAGATTTATATAAGAAAATTATATCCTACTTATTACTCTCATTATAAATTAAAAACAATATACTCAACAGTACACTACACGATAAAACTCCACTACTACCACAATTACTACAAGAACACACATATTCAAACATACACTATGCTTACTCTTATCTGTATATACAAATGCAATTCATTTTTACACAATCAAGTCTGTTACAATCATATTGTACCTCCTATAAACGAACCCTGTGCTACATGTCTTGGATTCAAAACTTACGTAAATGGCTACTATAATTAATAATATAAACGAAGAACTCGATCACACCAGTGCAGACAACGGTATCATTTGTTCTCCTGAGGACTGTAAGTACCATATTACCACATCAAATAATAACATAAATATACTTCATACTAATATTCGTAGCGTAAACAAAAACTTTGATAGCCTTCAAACACTAATACATAGAACGAAAATCAATTTTGATATCGTTGTGCTTACTGAATGCTGGCTGAGCAAAGTATATAACTGCCCCAGTCTTGATGGTTTTCACTCATATGCGACTGCTAGGAACCTAAACAAAAATGACGGAATTATCATATACACTAAGACCGACTTAAACGCAACTGTAAGTGAACCAAATATTAATAATGCAAATTGTCTTATATGTAACATAGATAACAAATTATCTGTGGTCTCAATCTATCGCTCGCCAGCATACCAAACCAAAGAAAACTTCGATAACTTCCTTGTAAGCCTAAATAACGTCTACTCCGACCTGTCATCTTACCCAAACATCGCTCTCGTAGATGACCTAAATATTGATATAAAGGAACTGTCTAGAAATGATCGTAGCATTGAATACCTTTTACTAAATGCATCTCATGGTCTGATTCCTACCCATTTGTTACCTACTCGTGAAAAAAATTGTCTCGACCACACACTTCTAAAGACCACTCTTCCAAGTACTACACTAGTTTTGGACTCACATATAACCGATCATAAGCCTACTATCCTAGCGGTATCCAATATTAGAACTGCACATAAGGCACAATGTACTCTATCTAAACTAAATTACAATGGAATCAAAAGCGACCTGGAAAACACAGATTTCAGTGACATTTACTCAACATCGGATCCAAATATTTTAATGAATCACATTATATCAATAATTAAAGCCATTATCGCTAAAAATACAAGACAAGTCACAATTCCAAGAAGAATGCGAACACTAAAAGCATGGATGACACCTGGACTATTAAAGTGTATAAGAAATCGCGATAAACTACACTCCAAATCAAGAAAGTTTCCTGATAATTTAACGCTCAAAGCCACATACACTCGATATCGGAATTTTTGCAACGGTCTGCTACGTACGCTTAAACGAGCCCACGAAAGGAGTAAACTAGAGAAGGCAAAAGATAACACTAGAGCTCTTTGGAACGCAATTAAAGAAATTACAAACACAAAGAAGGTAAGCGTAAGTCCTTCAGAATTGTTAAAAATAATAGACAATCCCAGAGTGTCTATTAACGAGGTTTCCAAATATTTCAGTAATATAGGTCAAAATTTGGCATCCCAACTCCAATCAGCTAACGAAACCGGCCTAAATGATACAACCGCACAGTATGATCCTACTCCCATGTGTTCGCTTCCTAACTCTCTTGCCTTGATGGCTGTAGACGAGACCGAGGTCGAATCATACATTCTCCAATTACGCAGTGATTGTGCCGCAGGTTGGGATGGAATATCATCCTTGGTTCTAAAACTATGTTGTAAACAACTAACACCACCGCTGACATTCATTTTTAACAACTGCCTGCAACTGGGAGTTTTTCCAGAAGCCCTTAAGAGAGCTGTTGTACATCCAATTTACAAGAGTGGTAACAGAGACTGTGTCAGCAACTATAGACCGATATCAGTACTTTCCTCCCTCTCAAAACTACTTGAAAATTTTTTAAATAAGCGCCTAAGAGACTATTTGGACAGATTCAGAATTATAGCTGATAACCAATACGGTTTTCGCCCTGGTATCTCTACTGAAGATGCTGTACTGGATCTAACACAATATATAGCTGAAAATATGGACCACAAAGAGAAATGTCTTGGTATTTTTCTAGATCTGTCTAAGGCGTTTGACACGGTCTCTGTTCCCTTGCTAATCAAGAAACTTGAGCGCCTCGGAGTCCGTGGTATGGCCTTGGATATTTTTAGAGATTATCTTACCAATCGCAAGCAAGTAGTAAAAATTGATTCCTACTTAAGCGACGAAAGGACTATTAATTACGGTGTACCTCAAGGGAGTATACTTGGTCCCATTCTATTCCAAATTTATGTAAACGACCTTTGTAAAATGACCCTCCCAAACTGTAAAATCTATGCATATGCTGATGACACTGCGATTATAGTTAAAGGTTCTACCTGGGAAGAAGTCAAGATAAAAGCTGAATATGCCCTCAAAAGTATCATGAAATGGTTGAAACTAAATCTTCTGACACTAAACATCAACAAAACTGCATACATCCCTTTCACTATTCGCCGCAGAAACAAACCTCCAAACTCATACTCAATAATTGCCCACACATGTGACGCACCGATAATACAATGTTCCTGTGCCCCTCTTACAAGAACTGACACTGTAAAGTATTTAGGCGTTCAAATTGATGATGGATTAAGGTGGGATGTTCATATAAACGCTCTCGTCACTAGAATAATGCGACTAATCCACACTTTTAACTACTTAGGGAGTCATCTAACCTAGAGATTCTAAGAATGACCTACCTCGCTCTATGTCAATCGATCATTGGATACTGTATTGCTGCTTGGGGCGGTGCAAGCAAAGCAAGTCTTCTTAGGGTTGACAGGGCACAGAGAGCTGTACTTAAAGTTATTTTGCGAAAACCCTTTAAATACCCAACTTCCCAAGTCTATTCAGAAACTAACGTATTGACGGTCCGACAGCTCTTCGTGCTCATGTCGACTCTGAGAAGACACAAGAACGTTAGCCCATCAAATTCAAATAAACGAACAAACCTTCCACCAAATGTGCAACACAGAACCTCGTTTGCTAAAAACCAATTCTTTGTCCTAAGTGTACATATTTATAGAAACCTTCATAAAAAATTAAACATTATAGATTTAAATACCTACGACCTAAAACATAAACTTACGGACTGGCTTCTAAAACAGGATTACTCGAACACAGAATCACTGCTGATCTACTCCAGATAAGAACTACCCATTCACAACAAACTCTCTCTCTCTCACACACGCACACACACACACATTAACACACACACCCATCACAGACACATACATATATACATATAGCATCAACCAACAGCTCAAAATGGCACACTCGCAAACTAAACAGATAATTTAATTCTGACAATATTTTGGGGGATTGGCACTGTATGCCGTAATACAGGTCTCCTAGTACGGCAGCAGAGACAACCGTATTATTTGTATTGATAGTCTAAATTGTTTGTTTCAAAATGTACTGCTCAATATGCTTTTCAACTACAATATGTATGTATTTTTGTGAAATAAAGTATTATTATTATTATTCTTATTATTTATAATACTAAAATATGTTCTGTATATTATTTATTCGATTAAATATGTTATAATTTCTTTTTCAGATAACAAAATAGATGCAAAACATTATATTTACGACCATTCTGATTTAAATACCGACTTCCATTGTGGGTACGTTGGGGGAGTCACAAATAATACAGCGTATGACCCGGATCTCATGAAGAAATATAAAGCAGAGAAGAATAGAGAAAAAAGTAGAATAAGTCGGGTATGGTAATAAATTTTATTGCTAGGTTATTTTTTTTTATGTAGGTCTTTATGTACAATGTGCAATTTTAGGTATTTTTGAAGTGAAATTTGCTTAGTATGGTTGTGATTTGAAACTCGATGAAACGAAAATGCGACACTAAAAAGACTCATGCCCGATTTCACCAACAACCCATAAGCTACCACCTACATATGGGATCCCTAGCTTAAAAGTCCCCTAAACTAGCCCCTAAATTAAATTTCGTTTTACGCCCATATTTCGAGCACCTAAATTTAGGGGGCCTTTTAATATTTAGGTGACCCCTAACTGTCGGTGAAACAGAAACTGTCCCCTAACTGCCCCCTAACCATGCTTAGGGGATCCCTTAAACTTAGGTCACGTTGGTGAAATCCCGATTTCACCAACGTCACCTAAGTTTAAACACGTAAATATTATAGGATTAAGCCGCCGAGAGAATTTAGATAGTATACATTGCCGTGTTGCCATGGTAACCGTTGTTATTTTCTGACAAATATATAATATTATATTCTTTCCGTATCTATAAATATATGATTGTAATATGCCTTATTTAATTATTGGTTTGTTTTAATTTAATTGCGATATTTGCCAAAGAAGTTTTACTAAAGGTTACACGCACCCATTTTTTTCTTACTTTTTCACCTGTAATAGAAAAAAAATATATTTATTACCTGTAATAGAAAAAATATATATAAATTTTGTCGCGGTTATAATATATAGTATAAAAACGCGACAAAATCCGAAAAGATAGTTTCATTTAAAAATACATAAGTACTTTATTATATAAACACCTGTCAAAATGCATGTAATATAATCTCTTAAAAACTTGTAATGCTATGTAAAAGATTTGATATTTAAAATATAACTAATTTCGTGTGTAAACAATTCACTGCACGCGTTTATTGCTTTTTTTTTTATTAAACAAATCAACCAATTGATTCTTGTTAGATAGTTAATTGCTTATGCTATACAATTATTTATTAAATTATTATATTATTTTTATACAAAAAAAATTCTAAACCAAAACATCAATTAAAAAAAATCTTAAAAATGGCTGTATATTTTAAATTTTTACAATATCATATTATTGTCATGCTTAAATCTCAACGTTTATAAGCGAGTGTTCTTGAACTTATCCACACTGCCGTTTAGGTCAACGAATTTCAGTGAAATTCAAAATGGCTCGTATATATATATATATATATATTATAACTTATATCTTAGAGACATAAGCTGCACATATCTACTAAATATAAATGATACTAAATAAAAATAAAGATAAAATTGTAATAACTTTTGTGATTCCTACAAATTATCTCTATTTTCAGTACAAACGAGATGCGTATGACGAAACGGAATTACGGGGTCCCTTCAATGCGAACAAACTATCTCGCTACGTAGAGTTAGTTCTTGTAGCGGATAACCGCGAGTATAGAGCCAACGGGGAGAGCATCGCGACTGTACACAGGCAACTCAAAGATGTGGCGAATATCATCAACTCGGTATGTTTTGTGATGTTTTGTTTGGTTTATTTCATTTTTATATGTAAATGTAATGTTCTTTTTTTACTGATTTCAATGGATTGATATGCAATTTAGGTGTTTTTGATTGATTTTGAAACGATTTTAAATGTTACTTTTTATAAAGAATTAGCGACTAACTTTCGCTTCGCTCGGGTGCATTCCTAGGAAGGTTTAAAACCTACCACAAAAGAAATCGTTATCGTGAGTGTTTTTATTTAGATTAGTTATCATACACACTTTTAAGCATAATTTTACCCCCTGTAAATTGGATGCGTTCCCGTACTTGGACTCACATTTAGTCCGTTGTACGTTTTACCCCCTAATAATAAAATACCCCATAATTTTACCGCCTCCGAGATTTATTTTCGAAACAATATCCTTCTCCGAGGTCTCATCTATCTCCATATCAAAATTCATCAATATTAGTTCTGCGGTTTAAACGTGAAAACGTAACAGACAGAGTTACTTTTGCAATTGTAATATTAGTCTAGAATCTAGATGAATGAATAATTTAAATTAAATGGTTATTGCACGTTCGTGAACTATCATTGGCTTTAAATATATGGATGGATGGTTTGTGCTGAGATTGCTCGACAATTGCTCTTTAAAAAATGTATAACAATGTGATGTAATAAAATAATGTGATACCTATCCAAAGTTGCAACTAGAATTGAAAGAAAATGTCAAATTATTAATATATTTTGTCCTTTTAAGGTATATGCACCATTGAATATTTTCATATCCCTCGTCGGTGTGGTTGTATGGAGTGAAAGAGACGAAATACAAGTAGAGAGGAACAGCAGTAAAACACTCAGACATTTCCTTGATTACAGGCGGAATAGACTTGTACATGACATTCCCAATGACAATGCACACTTGTTGACGTAAGTCTTATAGTTATTCATAATATTTTGACAATTTGATATCATTTTTTAAAATGTAAATCTTGTTCATTTTGTTCAAAGAAAATCGATTTTATGGCAGTTAATAAAAAAATACATAACTTAAGATACAAATATTTGTATGTATTGTATTCAGCCCTTTTTAACGTCCCACTGCCGGGCACGGGCCTTCCTTCAGTACGAGGGGAATCAGGCCATGGTCCACCACGCTGGCCAAGTGCGGGTTGGCGGACTGAACATGTCTTAAAAACTTGCTAGGTTCTCTCAGACATGCAAGTTTCCTCACTATGCTTTCCTTCACCGTTAAGACAAGTGGTAATCATGTTGGAAATGATTCGCACATGAAAATATCAGAGGTGCGAGACCCGGGATTTGAACCCACTTCACTCGGTTTCCCAAGCGAGCGCGTTACCACTGGACTACCACTGCCTTATATATTATTTAATACAAATATATTTTTTATGGTAAAAATTAATAGTATTTGTAAGAATTACTCAATTTTTTACCTAGTAAATATATAAATTCATAGTATTATTATTCCTATATAGTTTTACTTATATCGGTTTTTTTACAGACGTCAAAAATTTGATAATTACACCGTAGGGAAAGCTTACTATAGAACAATATGTTCGTATAAGTCCTCTGGGGGAGTGGCGTCAAACCATTCAAAAGTCATAGGGCTGGTGGCGACAACTATAGCCCACGAAATGGGTCACAATTTCGGAATGGGACACGACACAGGGGCAGACTGCCAATGTCCAGATAAAAAATGTATAATGAGTTCTTGGCTTTCTTCAGTAGCTCACACACATTGGTCCTCTTGTAGCTTACGATCGTTGGCTTTGTCTTTTGAAAAGGGAATGGATTATTGTTTAAGGTAATTATATTTTGGCGCCCAATGTGGGGCTCTTTAGTGCTATGCAAATTTTTTTTTTTCACCATAAAACATACGATTATTATGTTAAAATCGTAACGGAACATTACGTATGAAGATATTAGAGGTGAGACTCGAGGTTTGAACCCACTTCGCTTGGTTTTCCAAGATAACAAGTTACCACTGAGCTATCACTACCAACAACAACATGAAAATTTAAATCGAAAAACATGAGATTATATTGAGTAGATTACAGGGGAGGTGATTTATATTAAATACGATTTTTTTTATTTCATTATAAGTAATCTGATTACTATTACAATGTAAATGTTTATTTTTATGTACGTTTGTTAATTCTGCAACCTAAAACGGTTGGATTGATTTGGATGAAAATTAGAACAGGTATATATTATCAACTGGAGTAACATATAGTTAAGTGTAGGTCGTTAGTAATAAAATAATGTTTGACGATGCGTTTGGGTCAGTTTGTAGTGACCCTACTTGCCAGCAGTCGCGGGTTCGAGTCCCGCTGGGGCATTCATCTGTGTGATGAGCACGAATGTTTGTACTCCAGTCATGGGTGTTTATATTTATAATATGTATGTATTTAAAGTTATATAATAAGTGTAGTGTATCAATTATGTGGTATCCATAACACAAGCCTCGTAGCTTACTATGGAACAAGATGGTGATGTGTGTTTATGTCCCAACATGTTTATTTATTCAATGCTCATAGAACCATTTCTATCCAGAAACAAACCGAAGCGTCTATTCAACTCGCCTACATGTGGCAACGGGTTCATCGAGCCCGGCGAGCAGTGCGACTGCGGCCTCAACGGCAGCCCGGCGTGCTTGGCGTGTTGTCATCCCAAGGCGTGCGTGTTGCGGGCTAACGCCACGTGTGCTGTGGGGGAGTGCTGCGATCCTCAGGTGAGAGGGAGAGAGAGAGAGAGAAAGAAGGAATAAAAGAGTGTAAAACAATACATTCTATTTTAATATGACTACGCTTATTGTCGACTAGCGGATCACCCTCGACTCGATCGGGTTCGTCCCTAGGTACGTTTTAATTTTTAGACCGGAACGCTAATTCTTTTTCTAAAATAAAAGTAGCCTATGTTACTCCCTATAACATCAGCTATCTTCCAGTTCGTCAAAATCAGTCCAACCGTTTAAGTAATAATAAAATAAGTACCGTATATAATATCATACGCATTTAGTTAAAAGCTTTTATTTTGACATTACAAACAGACATTTTATTTATCTGTATAAATAAATATCCATGACTGGAGTACAAACGTTCGTGCCCATCACACAAATGAATGCCCCGAGCGGGACTCGAACCCGCGACAACTGACACAGCAAGTAGGGTTACTGCAAACTGGGCCAAACGTGTCGTCTATGTACTATAATTAATATCTGATACAGTTGGCTAGTCTTAAAGAGATTGGCCGCCGTGGCCGATATCGTTCAGGAGGACATAATTATGCATTATAGTAAAAATCAAATAATATATATTGAATTTTATAAAACCATTTAATAGCTTCAATATCGCTGGAACAGTATATTCTATTTTTTTTCTTATTTTTTTTAGACATGTCGTCCAAAACCAGCGGGTACCGTCTGTCGGTCGGCCGATAAGGAATGCGATTTGCCCGAATATTGTAGCGGTTATTCCGAGTTTTGTCCAAAAGATGTTTTCAAAATGGACGCCACGCCGTGTGCTAATAACGAGGTAAATTTGATTGAAAAAAATCCTGACAAAGATTCGCATTTATAATACTCGTATTAGTCGGATATATTGTGAAGTGTCAAAGCGTTCATTACATTATAGGCTGTAAGTATAAGATAATAAGGTAGAATTGCATGTTTTGCAAGACTCCAATGTATCAATAAAAGATGGAGAACAGTTTGAAATTTCACAAAACTCCGGGAAATTATAATTTAACCAGTGAACTTATTATTTCACGGCTTTTACAGTGTCCCCGCGACATATTCATATAACCATTATGTGTTGTTGCAATATATAATAAACAAATAATATAAATAACAAGGGGTTATTGTATATTTACATATATACTTATATGTTATAGAATACTAATTTACCTTTATTTAATATTAAAAATGTTTTTTTCAATTAGATTAAATGTTTCAAAATATTCATTATTATTTTTAACACAAATAATTAATGTTGATACCGATATATATTTTTAAAGATTATTATGACGGTTGTGAGGTTTTAATAGTATGATTCACATTCAATTTAATAATAATAATATTTAAATTTAATATCTATGTGTTTTTGTTTACACGAAAAGAAAATACAATTATATTACTAATATACTTAATAAAAATATATACTAAAAACTAGCGACTCACCCTCGCTCCGCTCGGGTTCGTCCCTGGGGTGGGATCTGGGAGGACCACCCTTATCCTTATCACTTAGGGGTATGAAAAATAGATAGTAGCCGATTCTCAGACCTACTGAATACGCATATAAAATTTGGTAAAAATCGGTGAAGCCGTTTCGGAGGAGTACGGTAACAAACATTGTGATATGGAAATTTTATATATAAGATGTACACTTATTTTTTTATGTACAAGCATTGATATATGAAAACGTAGATACACATTTCCTAACAAGTATCTCTTCAAAAAGTGGCGTCGACATGTCACGTTAAGTCAAACCAAAGAATAAAATTCAAAAATCGAAAGTTCTAATTGTCTTAACACAAATTCGAACTTACGCACACACCATAAGGTACTTTTTTAAACGAAACAACGTGCGTTTTAATTTCGTCATCCGAAAAGCAATGAACAAAAGAGATTTGAAATAAGAGGACAATTTCGAATTAGTGCGCTTTTTTTTTGAGGACACTTTTGAGATGCTAAACGTGTATCCCAAGTTTTTGTATATCAATGTTATTGTTTGAACAGATGTGCCTAAACCAAAAGTGTATATCAGTAGCGGCTCTACAGGAACAGATCGCGAGACGCGACACGTCCGTCTGTCCCTCCAACTGCTCGGGACACGGTGTTTGTAATTCTGAAGGTAATGTATCATATAGAAGATGAATTGTTTTATTTGGGCGGGAATATTATTTACTAGTGACTCATCCTCGCTTTGCTCGGGTTCTTCCCTAGGTTGATTCCATATACAAACTTTCATCCCCATTATCACCCACTTAAGGGGCGATTTCCGGGATAAAATTAAAAAGTTTCCCATAGTTATAGAAAAGGTGGGAAAGAAAAATAGTTAAAGTACTATGGAGTCGTCAACTAAATTTAAAAATATAGTGACTGAAGAAGATACAGCACAAGTTTAGTATATGGGACGCGGCCCCTGGAGGAGTTGGATATTATTTAGACATTACTGCCATTTAGACACTTGGAAATATCCTCCAGGGGCCGCATCCCATATACTAAACTGCAGCCAAAGATACTAACGCTTACAATGGGGTAACGATGGCGTGCGTACGATTTTCCGCACCCGACCGTCATACACTTTTTTATATTAGAGTCCGGAGAGTGTTCAGGGTTGAAGGGTATTTACATCCTATTAATTTGTTTATTAATTATTCATTATATTATATCAATAATAATATTTTTTATTTTCTAGTAAAGAAAGGAAAATATTTTGCAATAGTTTCTATATAAATAAAAAAAATTTTTTTCGTTTGTACAAATCGTCGTTATTCATCGATTGGTTTAAAGTTTTACATATATTTAACGTGAATAAGATTTTGCGGTAACTTACCACGAGATAGCCTTATTGATTGTGCTTCAACTTCTAAACCGTTCGCCGTAAAAACATTTCTTTAACAATCTTTTGGCGGCATTTTTGTTAAGATCAAAGGCTATTACCTACTGTATGGTTTTTGTATACTGTGGTTACATATACATAGTACATTTTTAATTTAAACTTAAACAAATTTGAAAACGGAAATTTAACACATTTTCCCTATTGAAAAACTCCATCAAGAGCGACAAAAGTCACTTAGAAACCAATAAAAGCCAATAAACATTTATTGGTTTCTATGTGGCTTTTAATGAGATCCTATTGGGGTTTTTAAATAGGGTTGATGAATTCGTTAAATTATTTGGATTGTCAGGCTCATAAATCGTTCATCATGACACAATGAATACAATATTTGTAGGTCATTGTCACTGCGAGGCCGGCTTCGCGCCGCCGCTATGCGCGCTGCCCGGCCCCGGGGGCTCCATCGATTCCGGTCCCGCCACGGACTCCAGTAGTAAGTATACTTCATATAATAATAAGAATAATTATATAATATGGCACGTTTTCCAACAACAACATGTCACGGTATTTTGACTTTCAAGCCACGCTATCTATAATTAAAATAAACTGCGAATAAATCCAAAAATAATTGGTCTAATTTGAAATATCTATTATTAGCGTACATCTAAGGAAATATTACTAAAGTACTTCTAAGTATTTTGCTTTAATTCAATTCTACTTTCATTTTAATGGCTTATTTTTCTTTATTTACAGTACAAAGGAATTTCATGGTGGCGATGTATGTCATATTCCTCGGCATCCTACCGTCGATACTTCTCATCCTGTTCCTCATGTACTATTCGCGACACAACGTACTCGTGTGGTGGAAGAAACCAAGAAAAACGTACGTATCCAAATTGTTCAAAAGTGGTGCGGGGAATAACACGTCATCCACAAAAACACCAAAAAGCTATTTTAATTTCATTCTACCCACATTTTCTAGCTCTTCTTCCTTTATTAGAATACTAACATTCAAACGTAAGGATACAAATGAACCTACGGCCATATGCAAAAAATGCATACGTGAGCCCAATAAAAATGAAAATATTTACGCGAATGCATGCGACCATGAACCAGACTATGAGAGTATAAAAAGTAATTCAGATTTAAAAAGTAAAGCGTGGCATCAAAAAATAACAAAATTTCTAAACAAAAATGAAAGCAAACGCGTAGTTAAAAGATTTCATAGAAAAATAAACAAAGATGACATCAAAGTTGCGGATACAAATGAATTGGTCGATGTTAAAAATATACGAAATAAACTCGAGGAGTCTGATGGCAGGAAGAAATTGAACGTAGAAATAATTAATATAGGCTTAGCGTCCACTACTAACGAAAACATTAATCGTAGTGATATAAAAACTATACGAAATAACGTAGTTACAAAAAATGATAAAAATAACGCCTTTAATGTAAACTTTAAGACTGATAATAATCGTTTTAAAAAAGATAATATATTAAATGCAGGTTTATCATCTACGAGTAACGTCAATATTGCCAAAAACGATGAAACTAAAGAAAAAGTGGAAATTAAATCTAATGTCAAATTTTTGACAAGTAAATTCGGTCAGCCGGCTATTGATTTTTCTAATTTACCAAAACGAAGTGATTTGAGGAAAGTTAAAAATAAAAAATAATAAATTACAAATTTTTACAGAAAATTACTATAAATAACACAACATACTATAAATAAAGCCTTTTTCATTGAGTAAAGTCAATTTTTCAGTAACTTATTGTGATATAATCTCTAGAAAACATTTAATGAAAATATTTTCCCGTAGTAAAAAGTATCCTATATGTTTACCTGGATAATCAGCTATCATCATACCAAATTTCACCAAAATGCCTCCAGAGGTGTTTCCGTGATGCGGTCACAGACAGATAGACATACAGTCAAAAATTCCAAAAAAGATAGATTCGGTCTCTGTATGGATAGTAATGAATATTTCAATAAGATTTCCCAAAAAATATTTGATGTACAGATTCGACTCAGTTAGAATTTTATTATATGTATTGATAGAAATATCTCTATGAAAGTTAAAATGAAATCATTATCAAAAGTAGAGTATCTAGTTAGAGTATAAAATTATAAGAAGTTTGATGGACACAGTAATAAAATCTTAAAAAACGTTTTTTTTACAATAATAATAGTAGTCACGGTCAAGGTTTTATTTTTAATTAGATTTAAAAAATATATAATAATAAAATTAATTATAATTTTTTATTTGTTTATAAACTATATTACAAACACAGAAATTAAGGCGATTTAAAAAATACATATCTAAAATTAGAATTTGTAAAACGTTAAGATTGTTGATGCTACTCTTGCTTTATATACTCTGTGACATTCTTAAGTTTGGATGTTGACAATAATTGTGACATTTAAAAACAATAACGCGAAGGAAATCTATGAGATGTGGGTTTGAAAATTAAATAATTTATATTTCTAATTTAAAATTATTTTTAGTTTTTTTTATTAATAATTAAAATATTAAGTATATTATTAAAAACTGTAAATACATTTAGCGTATGCGTTTTCCTTTTAAGGGAAGCTATCTGATGTACCAATAATTTCGATTTTAATGACTCGATATTCAATAAAAAATTATTAATAATAGCACAAAATTCTCTGAAAGTCAACATATGTAGAGGTTGCAGTTTAGTATATGGGACGCGGCCCCTGGAGGAGTGGGTGGTATTTTTGGATAGGAGAGGTGATAGAGAGTCCAAATATATAAAAATTATTTTGAGGAAACAACAGAGTCAAAAGTTATTGAGACTTAAAGTTACAACATTCCCATACATTATTTAGACATTACTGCCATTTATACACTTGGAAATATCAAAATGTCACTTTCAATTGTCAAAATCAGATTATGTTTTGTCGTGTTTTTAATTATTCTTTGCGTGAAATTTGAATGTTCTAGTTTTATAGTCATATAATAATGGCACTCGCCGGCCGCTACCGCGGCACGCTCGCTTCGCTCGCTCGGCTCGTGCGTTGTGGTAACTGTTCTAACATAACCTAACCAAGATATGATGAATAATAAATAAATAACCTAAGTCTTAAACTAACCACGATGCCGCAAAATAAAATCCAAAAGTAAGTAATACTTAGATTTTAAAAATAGTCTACTCACGTTTATAAATTGTATTAATATAATCTGTTGTCATTTAAGCGGTAATGTAAAACAGAAATTGACAGTTGTCAAAATGTAAGATCATTTTGCTTACAATAGGACTGTTGTGAAATTATTAAAAAATTAAATACAATAAAGGCTTAATTGTTGTGAAAATATGTATTGTACAGAGAAAAGGATGTTTACTATTAGTTAAAGGTTAAAGGTATGTTTATCTTTTGTAATCACATAGCTAGGTAAAGAAATGTATGGAAATGTATTAGATATGTTGTAACTTTAAGTCTGAATAATTTTTTACTCTTACGTTTCCTCAAAATATTTTTTATATATTTTGACTCTCTGTCACCTCTCCTATCCAAAAATATCTCCCACTCCGCCAGTTGGTAACGAAATGTATGGAAATGTTGTAACTTTAAGTCTCAATAACTTTTTACTTCTACGTTTCCTTGAAATAATTTTTATATATTTGGGCTCCCTGTCACCTACCCTATCCAAAAATACCACCCACTCCGCCAGGGGCCGCGTCCCATATACTAAACTTGTGCCTAAGTAGAATATTGTTTTAGTTTAATTTATTTTAATGCACATAATTTAATTGCTAGATATAGGAAGTATTGTGATCAAAACATGTATTGTGTAGACATAACTAATATATTTAAGTTTAAACCTAACTCCCTTATAATTTTCATGTGTGGGTTTTGCATGCGTATAATTAAGTTATTATTAATTAAAATAATTTTAAATTACAATGCAATTCAATTAAAATGTATATAAATGGATTAGCTTTCAGTTCTAGTTCTAAAAACCGAAAAATGCTAAACGCAGAAATATTAAGATTTTTTTAATTTAAATTATCTATAATCTATAGATAGATTTTAATTTTAATTTTAAATAAAAAATGTTCATCAATAAAAATTAAGTAGGAAATTTGCGATTTTTCACAAAAGACCGTTTGCATTTTTATTTATGTACATTAGATAAAAACTTTCTAAAATGTTCTCTATTCTTATTAGGATTTGGATGGCATTGTAATGATGTTAGATAGAAAATTACTTAGTTTGCTTGAAAAATTATTTGTATAGGTTTTTAAATGGTTATATGGTAATTGGCATGCTATTAAAAGACACACAAAACATAAACAAAAATAACGTGCTCAATATTTTTTTAATTCATTTTTATGGGTCTCGTCTTTCCTTCTTACATTGACTTTTAAATATACCCATAAATTGGCTTTAATGCTACAAATATATTTTATTATTAAATTTTTGAACATACTCTGCAAATTAATATGTAAGCTTATGTAAAATTTCTTTTCTTTTGTTACTCAGTTAAATCATTATCGTTATTTTTATTCTTTGGTTATGTATTCATTTTTCTTTCTCTCTATCACACTCTCTCTTTCTCTCTCTCTCTCTCTGTGTGTGTGTGTATGTATGTAACTTTATAAAGTTGATAATTTGTATTAATTTGGTAAAAGTAATAAATTTTCTTTTTTTTTCTTTTTCTAATGTTTTCTTCCTAATAAGGTTTGTATGTTGATTGGAGCTTTAGCACATTGTTATGTTGTTTAAGCTTCCGTAATTTAGTTTAAGTTAATTATAAGCAATTTGTTGTATAACAAAGTTATTGCGGTCAAAATTAATCAGGCGCTTCGCCATATGTATCTCTTTTTACATACTCATTGTCAATTGCTATTAAAGCCCCTTACTGACCGGTTGATTTTTATTTTATCATCGCCACATCACCCGTGATTATTACCAAATTAATTTAAACACCTCTAGCCCTCTTCATGGTCCATTACGAGACGGATAAAAATAAAGGAAATATAGAAACAATATTAAAAATAATTAAAAAGTGACCAAGTGCCGTATGGAGTATAGAGGTGAAGATTGTTAAATTCGAGTGAGTTATAGACATTAAGTGCTTAAAATAAAAATCAGTATAGTGTTTATCATTATATTTATTAATAAAACCTAACATGTCTACAAATTAAACATTAAATCAGGTAATTAAAGCACGTTAAGCACGTGTGACATTGGGCAAGGTCAGTAAGTTAAAACTTTTAAAACTTTATTACAAATATCTACAAATGTAATTAAAATGATATATTAACAATAAATTTGGTAAAATATAATAAATATTAGGTATAGTTTATCAGTACTTAAATAATACAGTACAGTAACTTATAAATGTTACATTAGATAACTGTTCCTAGTACCTATAAGTATTTTTACGAAATACATTTTAATTATATTATATAAACTTCAAATATATGTTATTAATTTTTATTAACAATAAATTTGATAAAATATAATAAATATTAGGTATAGTTTATCAGTGCTTAAATAATACAGTACAGTAACTTATAAATGTTACATTAGATAACTGTTCCTAGTATAAGTATTTTTACAAAATACATTTTAATTATATTATATAAACTTCAAATTTAAGTTATTAATTTTGCATATTCAGTGTAGATATTTATTTTATTAAAATTTACTTCCAATTATAAAGTAACAGTTTAGCAAATAATTTATTTGTGAGCTTTAGAAATACATATCTAAGTTAAATCGAAAATTATTGTTAGATAAAATAATTTATCAATTATCAGTAAAACAAGTTTTTGGTTGTGATTTATTAGTTACTATATCTCTAAAACCTTTGTTTGTAAAATTTCAGATCGACATCATCTGTATCCCAAAACGACTGACATTAAGGAGCTTGAAAAGAAGCGTGGCAGTTATAAATGTAGATTAACAGTTTTTGGAAATTATTTAGGTACTTTAAATGATGCCGAACTGACCGCCTGTCAGGCGATGGAGTTACAATTACGAACAGATAAGTTAGAGAGCTTATACAATGAGTTTAATGAAGTTCAATCACAATTAGAATGCTTAACGGATAACATTGACATTGAATTAGTTGAACGAACCGCTGTAGAATCACAATATTATTCATTATTAGCTCAGGCTAAAAATCTTATCAATATATTTTCAAAATTAGAACAAAATGACGTAAAATCAACTTCTAGTAACTCTAAGCAACAGCTGGTCAAATTGCCTACTATCGATTTACCTAAATTCTCAGGTTCGTATGATAACTGGCTAGAATTTCGCGATACCTTTTCTAGTCTCATTCACAACAATGACAACATAGAGGAAATTAATAAATTTCACTATCTAAGGTCATCACTGGAAGGTTCCGCTGCTGTCGTAATACAATCTATTCAGTTTTCTGCTCAAAATTATATCATAGCCTGGGAACTACTGTGTGACAGATTCAACAACAAACGGTTACTTATTCACAATCATGTGTCAGCTCTGTTCAAGCTCGAACCAATAACTAAGGAGTCTTCAATATCACTAAAGCGAATGATTGATCAAGTAAATAAAAATATTAGGTCTTTAAATACAATAGGCAAACCGGTTCATAGCTGGCTGGCCGACACATTATTAATATATATAATAAGTTCAAAGTTAGATTCTACAACATTAAGAGAATGGGAGGAATATAAAGGGCATTTAGACAAAAATAAGTTAATCTCTTTTGAAAATTTTATAGAATTCTTGAGAAATCGTGCGGATTTAATAGAAACTTTAGAAATATCTCGTCATTCTCACACAAATAAGGAAAGTACAAATAAAAATTTAAAATTTAAAACTTTAGTTTCCACTTCGAATTATTCTAACAATGTCAATAATACAAGCTCACATAATTATTGTCCTAAGTGTAATGGCGATCATAACCTAAACGTTTGTCCACAATTTTTATCACTATCTATCTCTGAACGAATGTCATTAATACCGAATTATAAGATTTGTTACAATTGTTTTCGTCGCGGTCACTACCGTAGTCAATGTAAAAAGTCAGGGTGTAAAATCTGTAAGCGTAAACACCATACTCTAATACACAACACAGATTTGCTTAAAAAATCTGATGTAAACAAAACTTGTACGTTCGATACGAATAAGATTAATAGCACTACCGTTACTGATAACGCTCACACCGCACTATTGACATGTACACCTGCGCTTTATATATGTAGCAATATACTCTATGACCTGCGCACACGCATTGTGCGACTGCGAGTAGTTCGAGCGAAGTCCTTTTATCAACTGCATTAGTGAAGTGCAACGATATTAATAATAAAACACATATCGTCCGCGCTCTTCTTGATTCCGGCAGCTCTTCATGTTTAATGACGGAAAATTTATTTAAAAAATTAAAACTGCCTTATCTTAAGACTAATAAGTATATACAGGGTATTAATAATTCGTTGTCTCTTGTGGATAAATTTTGTCATTTAAATATTCAGTCCTTAAATGAAAAATATTCAAATGATTTATTATGTTTCATTTTGCCTTCAATCACTGATAAGATCCCCGCTAAGCAGGTACAACTAGATATACCGTCGAACATAAACTTAGCTGATCCTTATTTTCACACACCGGGTTCCATTGATTTAATTATTGGAGCGGATGTTTTTTGGAGTCTCTTAGGATCCGAAAAAATTATATTAGGTGATAGATTACCGATACTTTATCAAACTAATCTTGGATGGTTAGTTAGTGGTCCAATTAACGGCGGCCATAATAATTGTTTTAACACTCGGTCTTCACCTATACAATGCAATTTTAATAAACAATGTTCCACATTTAGATGAGCATGATGACATTCGAAACCAATTAACGCGTTTCTGGCAGCTCGAGGAGGTATGCCATGAGTCATCTACTTATTCATTACAAGAAAATGTGTGAAGAACATTTTGTTATAATCGTCACGTTTATCAGATGTTTTTGCGTTAGAATGCCTTAGGCGTTAATGCTTAGAATATTTTAGGCGATTCGTTTAATCATGCTAAACGCTGTTTTCTGCCACTTGAGCGCAGAAATAAAAATCAAGCCTCATTATATAAGATGTATAAAAACTTTGTCTGAGTATATTTATTTATCACATATGTCAGAAATTTAAATTAATAAAAATAATTCCTATTTCATTCCGTATCATAGGATTTTAAGATTACCTAAAATAAAACAAATATTAACCTTCATGTCGCGTATGAAAATACTGTAGAAACAGGATTAATAAAATTTGAACGTTTTTCTAATATTTTAAGATTACAACGTACCTTTTGTTATGTATTTCGCTTTATTGATGCTTGTAAATGAAGAGGCACAAAAACACTGCTTATTTTTCTAAAACTGAACTACAAAACTGTTTAAATTTTATAATAACTCAGTCACAAAGATAATCTTTTCCTGAGTATGATTTATTAACAAATAATAAAAATCTACCATACAAAACCATTTGTTAAAATTAAGTGTATTTCTCGATGCTAATAAAATTATACGTGTAGGAGGTAGGCTACATAATTCCGAATACGCTTTCGAGAAAAAGCATCCAATTCATTTACAGTCCACTCATCATTTTTTAAAACTTTTATTTCGATATGAGCATATTCGATAGATTACGCAGGTCCCTTAACCTCAGCTAGTCGTCAAGGTCGTGGATGTAGATTAGTGAAGGTCTATATCGTTATTTTTGTATGTTTTACGACAAAAGCCATTCATTTAGAACTGGTAGGCGATTTGACTAGCAATAGTTACCTGCAGGCATTATCTAGGTTTATTTCTCGGAGAGGTAAACCTCTTAATATTATTTCTGACCGTGGAGCTACATTCACAGGAGCTTGTAATGAAATCACAGATTTTTAAAACAAAATTGTAACTCTATATCTGACAGCGCGGCTCGTGACGGTGTTAACTTTCATTTATCCCTGCCTATGCTCCACATTTTGGCGGTCTTTGGGAGGCAGGTGTCAAGTCGACTAAATTTCATTTGATAAGAGTGTTAGGCAATTGTCACCTTACTTATAAGGAATTTAACACTATATTAGTTCTCTCACTCCTTTATCGTCGAATCCTGAAGATTTGTTGCCTCTTACTCCCGGTCACTTTTTAATAGAAAGACCGCTCACATCTCTACTTGTGAAGGATTTTCGTGATTGCTCCAGTCACATGTTAACTCGACACCACCGCATTGAACAACTCCGACAGCATTTTTGGTCAAGGTGGAGTAAAGAATGTGTCAGAATTGCAGCTAAGAGTCAAGTGGAAATCCTCTATGGATGCACTAAAATTGAACTCTTTAGTCGTTATTAAAGACAACAACTTGCTGCCAATGAAATGGAAACTGGGTCGAGTTATTGCTCTTGATCCTGGCACCGACGGAATCTCCAGGGTGGCTGATATTACGACTGCGACCGGCATCATCAGACGATCCTTTTCGAAAATCTGCCCGCTGATAGAAGAGTCCTGTTGAATGCAAGCCTTCAACGGCCGGGGGCATGTTTAAGCTTCCGTAATTTAGTTTAAGTTAATTATAAGCAATTTGTTGTATAACAAAGTTATTGCGGTCAAAATTAATCAGGCGCTTCGCCATATGTATCTCTTTTTGCATACTCATTGTCAATTGCTATTAAAGCCCCTTACTGACCGGTTGATTTTTATTTTATCATCGCCACATCACCCGTGATTATTACCAAATTAATTTAAACACCTCTAGCCCTCTTCATATGTATTCGGTGAGTTGTTTTGCGTTTTCTGGGCTTTGCATGAATGTAAAATATTAACATTTTGCTATCTTTTTCTATTTTTTTATATCTATTGATTTTTATGAAAATTAATTAATAATATCTATGCCCATATAAACTTCGTTGTCTGTTCGTTAGTCATACATTTCTAAACCATTCGTCGGATTGTGCATAATATTCCATATACTATGTTTCTACGTTAAATTGCTTCCATCTTTTAGTTCTTATTTTAAAAAGTAGGTTTTTTCTTTTTTTTTATAAAATTTTTAGTTTTCGCCAATTAGACGAATTGAATTTTTTGTAACAATGTGCTACCCTACATTATTTTTAGATGTAGAAATTATAAATTGTACGCAATTACTAATCGTCTTTTCAAAATCTTCATTTTTTGGCGCTTCATTCTTATGGCGCCTACATCCCGCCATGTTGATTTTTATTTGATGTTACGTATCAAAACGAATACAACGTCGTATAATTCAAATACATAATATTTAGTAATAACAAGGGAACATAATATTATGTCCGACGATATTGAATATTGTTATAGTCCAGGAGACTCTTGTATAATTTGCCCCAATATTAGCGAGAATAAACTACCAACACACAGGTCATCTTGTAGTTTCTTGTCTTTAATCAAAGCCTTTGACAAAGGCTTAGGTTATTGTTTGAGGTATTTATTTTAAATATGTTATCTTACTTCTTACGAATATTATAAAATGTGAAAATTTAGACGGATGTTTGGATGCTCGTTACTCAATCACGCAAGAACGGATCTAAAAATTTGCACAGATATAGATTATAATCTGGAATGGCACATAGGCTGCTTATATCCCGGAAAAATGTACGATTCCCGTGGGATAGGTTTGTGTTTGTTTTTCTAGAGGCGAACCCGATCGAAGCGAGGCTCACTCTCGCTAGTTTATTATAATAATATGAATTTGCGAATTATAACGAAACAATTGCTATAAGTAATCGAGGAAATATATTTTAATATGAATGGATAATTGTTAAAGTATTAGAATAATACGACACCAGTGTTATAACGGACACTAGCTTACCGCATACACCTTTTTCCGAAATCAGGCATAGTACTATTAAACTATTAAGTGATAATAGGCGGGAAGTAAGGAACGGAAGTCTAACTCAATACGTAGAGTACAAGAGGAGGCATGGAAGAAAAGGTAAATGTAATATTAGATGTGATAGATGAAAGATAATTTGTTGTATTTTGTATGACAGGGTCCGATCGAGAGGAGAATGAACTGCCTAATGGTTGAGGGACTTGTGGACAGGAGTATCTAATAGTAATGGTACCTACAATAAAACAAGTGCCAATTTAATCTTAACACTGGTGCCCATTGTGGGGCAACAGGGATATTTTGGAAGAACTTTTATCTAACTCTACAACTGAATTCGCGATCATACTCGTAATTCATACAACTAATAAAAAGTACGTTCGCGGATTCAGCTGTCGAGTTAAGTATACATAGATATTTTTTTAATTATTATTATATTATAGTTTTTAAGACATAATTTTACAACTACATTGTATCTATTTATTATACTTTTTTTTATTAAAGTTAATAATTTGGAATCTTTAGAAACAAGCCGAAACATCTTTTCGGCTCACCCTTTTGTGGTAACGGTTTTATTGAATTCAACGAGGAATGTGACTGCGGAGTGTATCCGAGTGTAGCATGTGCTACATGTTGCAACCCGCTAACCTGTCTCTTGAAGCCTAACGCGACTTGCGCTTTAGGAGAATGCTGTGATCTATGGGTGAGGTTTTCTTTATTAAATCACACTTTATAATCATAAAATTAGGTTTAGTTTTAATAATAATTTTTCAACCGATTTTTGAAATATAGCAGGCATCTTTTTGGCATTGTGAATGGAAATATGTCTATGCTATAGACATAGATACGTCTTTGCTACAGATTTTACTGCTCTTTTTATGATTTTTCATAGTAATTATTAGAAAAAATATCTAAATTTTAGCTATTTTTAGACGTTAGAACATGGCGGTAATGGTAGTATCCTTTTAGTTAAATAATTTTCAAATTATGATCAGTACCAAGGGTTATCCCTCATCTAAACTTATAATTTTATGTTGATATTTAATATAAATACTAAACAGTAAACTTGGTTGTAAGATAGAGGTGACTCTAATCCATTGATATAGTTTTTATATATCAATGATTTAATCACATAGATTTTGGATGAACGGATTACATCAAAATCGGTTCAGATTTATAAAAAACATAACTCTCCTTTTGAGCTTCACTGCAGTAAGAAAGAATTACCTTACCTTAATTATTATGTTATGTAGCATTATTGCTTCTAAATCAATCAACACAGTCTCCATTTAAGAAACTTTTATTATGGATAAAGTAATAAACATTGTATGAATATTCTAAGTAATTATTCGATCTTCTATTATACAATAACAGACATGTCAGGTGGAAGAAATATTAACAGTTTGTCGACCAGAGAAGAATGAGTGTGATTTACCCGAATATTGTAACGGATTTTCCGGAGATTGCCCAAAAGATGTGTACAAGATGGACACTACACCTTGTTCTCATGGCGAGGTACATTCACAATTCTAACGTTTTTAATATTTTAATTGTTTTCGTAATATAATATTCCTAAATCTATTTAAATAAATGTATTGCATTTACATAAAAAATTTAAATTGAAATATTTAAATTAGGTTTTATTTGTGGCAAAAGCCACATAAATTATAATTGCACGACATTAAAGCGTAATATAGAATACTAGCGAGTACCGACTCACCCTCGCCTCGCTGGGGTTCGTCCCTAGTTACGTTTTAACGTTTAGTATAGATTTCTCAGAGATGAAATTTTTCCCCCTGTAAAGAGTATCCTATATGTTTACCCGGATAACCAGCTATCACCATACTAACTGCAATGTAAGAGTATATTTATATGTAAAACCTAAGAATTTGGTTTTTGGTCATCTGAACGCGGGCGAAGCCGCGGGCAATGCTAGTATTCTATATTACGCTTTAATGACGTGGGTTTTGAATTTTTTATTTGAAATATTTATTTTTATCACAATTTTCCGTCGTGTTTTGTTTTAATTTATGTTTTATTTCACATTAAGAAATATTTAATTCACTTTAATATTTAAAAAGTATTTTTTTTTTCTATGTTTTAGAGATAGCGACTTACTTGCCTCATTGCTATAGGTAGCCAATGGGTTAGTTCAGGACATAGTCTATCTCCCTTTAATGTGGTGGGAGGGCTAACACTAAAAAAATCTTGCAAGGCGCCACCACTTAGGCGAGTGGGTACCATGCTATAACTTACTAGTCTATACTTCTTACAAATGTTCATCAATGGTATTATTTTCAGGCATACTGTGTAAAGGGCGAATGTAGTACACATAGCGACCGGTGTCAACTGCTCTGGGGAGAGTCAGGAATAATGTCCAACAAGAAATGTTATGAAACTTTTAATGTCCAAGGCAATGAGTGAGTATTTTTAGTATTAACATTTGACAAAACTAAAACCGAGTGAAGAGAACAATGAGCCTAATGGGGTCCATTACGCTGTGTCGTTCAAAAATTAATTGGGTTAGGTTAGGCACTGGCTTTGCATCCCCCCCAACGTACGTTCACCTTGTCGTGGTGGAGGTGGAAGGTGATGGCCTAAGGCGGCCCACCTCGGTGGGATGTGTACTTCATTGACAGCAGAGTGGGCCGTTGGAGCAACCCCATGGTTCGTGACAACCGTTGTGTTCTGCTTCGGCAGACCTGCCGTCGGGGCTTCGTGTTTGAGTGCGTAAGCGATCTTGCGACGCCCTATTACGACAGGAGACTTTGTTGGGTTTTAGGGGTAGTATTTGGATTTTCTAGCCGGTGCGCCCCACATAACCTATATAAGTATATTTAAAGGTGGTATGCGTCAATGCATCACTCAACATAAAAAACATAAAAAAGGAACTGCTTTCCGTGGTTTTTTAAAGCGAACCTTACTCACGAGTTTATAAGCTAAACATTTTGAGTCAATCAACAAAAAAAATTGTCAAGGAAATGCTAAGGACACTTTAAACGAAGAAGGTATTTTAGGAAGATTTTATTTAAATGCAAATATTATTTTCAGAAATCGTTACTGTGGTTACCGACGTGGTGAGCAAATAACATATAAAGAATGTTCTGAACAAGACGCGCTCTGTGGCTTGTTACATTGTGTACATGACAACAGTAGCCTACAGATAGATATGGGAGACGAAACAACAAAATCGAACCAAGTAAATCAAAGCTTTGCCAATTCAGGTATTAAAACCTACACATTACAAAAAAAGTTTTTTTTCTTGGCAGTAAAATCGACTCTGGTGTTCCGGCAAACGTTGGCGTGACGTTGTCATGCTATCATGTCCATTCTACGCCACTTCTCTCGCCTCCCTTGTGTGTGCGCGCGCGCATACTATACACGCACCATTGTAAAACAGTCTCTATTAAAAATACCTACATATTTTCTATTCTATTTATGAATATATATATATTCTGTAATTAGGCATTATTATAATTAAAATAATAAAAAAAAGATTTCATTTATTTTATTTTTATTTATTGTTTATTTATTTTACTCCATATTCCGTTATAGGTTTTTTTTAAAATAAAACTATCTTTTCGGATTTTTCCGCGGATTTATTTCGATTTTTGGTTCCCGATGTTTTGAATGTTTTACAGCCAATCATGGTCACGGGAGAGGCAATCTATCCATCAATACCATATCTAATTGATGTCCAATTTTTTTTGTAGAGATACTATTTATAGTTATAGTCTTTTGGTTACAGGCATACGTCATTTGACTCATTTCCATGATTGCAATACAGCTATGATAGATCTGGGTCTGCCTGAGGAGGACCCAGGTTTGGTACCAGATGGTGCTAAATGCGGTGAAGAAATGGTATGGGATGTTTTACGATTTAAGAAGTTTATAAGGCTTGCTTATTAAGAAATCATAGATAATCACATGATATATTAATGTCTAAGCAGTAAGCGCACAGATGGACAGATGTTCATTAAGCAGTAGTAACCCAGCGGGTAATTGTAACGAGTATTATAAATATAAGGGGCTATGAAAAAAAAAACATAATTAACAGGACATATAAAACTAACAAAGATTATTATTTTTAGATGTGCTTGAAACAAAAATGCGTATCTATAGCGTCCGTACGTCAAGGTATTGCAAAAATGAAAACATCCATTTGCCCTTGGAATTGCTCAGGAAATGGCATTTGTAACTCCGAAGGTAAGAAATAAACAACAACAAATAACAAATTAACAACAACATAACAAACAAAAAACAAATGGTAACCAATTTCTCAAATTGAAATTAAAAAATCAAATTTATTGTATCAGTGGTTGCGTATTATTAACGGGGTCATTTGATGACTTAATCGAAGCGGGTTCAAATCTAGGTCTCACACTTTTAAATAATAGGGGTTAAAGTATGAAATTGCCGATTTGTATATCTTACTTATTTCACTTATCTCACTTATTAGTATCTCAATAGTCGCAAAAAAATTCTAAGAATAAATATTTATACGTTTACGGCACAAATTCACTAGTTTAAATATTTTAAATTACACAAAAAACAATAGCGAATCACGCGCGGTTCACTTGAAATCTAAACAATTTTTGATGTGTTTGTTTTTAATGTTGTCGACATTTAATTAAAATTTTATTTTTTTATATACTTCATAAACTTCTAAAGTTTGCGTGTATTACTGAAAACTAAAATAAACTGATTTTGTCTTGTAATATGTGATAAAAGTGCAGCGGGCGAGGTGGTGCCTATAGGCACCAGCAGGGTTTGACGGTAACGCCGGAAGTGGTGCCTATAGGCACCAGCGGGGTTCAAATGGTTAAGACTTCAGTAAAAAGTTAATGATATTAAGTGAGTGTGGACGTTTGAAACGGTTGGACGAATTTAATAAATATTATAAGTACGAGGTAGCGGTACGTAACTATTAGAGCTGTAGTTTTGTTATTTTCCTCCCACAGGTCACTGTCATTGTTCCCCTGGTTTCGAACCGCCGCGCCGTTGTGTAATCGCGCCAACGTCGGATCCATTGACTCCGAACCGACATGTTATATCAAGCAAGTTAATTTGTTAAGAAATTTCAGTGGTAATATAAATCACGTCCTCTTGATCGATTTCGGTCACAGCGACCAACCTTACTGAGCCTAGCACAGGAGATCTTGTAGTGCGAAAACGTGTTGAGAAATCAGGTGCAGGACCGAAGCTACACGTGCACTCCGAAGCTGTAACACTGCGCAGGAGATATTATATTGCACAAGTGCACGCACAGATACAAGTGCACTCTCTATTCCTGTCATTATCTTACTGTTTATATATGTAGCAATATACTCTATGCTCTGGTCGGATGACAATTCAATTATTGTTGAGAGATCAGGCCAGGGTCATTCAACTTATATACAAATCACGTGGTAATTCAAATATTGAAGTTGTCCCACTTTACAATAGAGATGGCAGGGTAAAACTTATAAATTTTTTTGAATTCGTTCAATAGATGTCACTGCTGAGACCAGATGAGATGAGTTTTTAAATGTCCGCCGTTGATGATAAAGGTATCTTTAACAATGTGATATTTTAAAAATTTATAATTTTCCCCAAACTAAGTGCCCGTTATTGTGTTTTAACGTTGAGTTGAGCTTATATTCCTTCGATAAATTCATATGACTGTGATCTCAATATATCACAATTTCGTAGTTACAATTTTACAAAAACAACAGAGTTAGGACTCGTTTCTGGCGTTTGGGTTTATTTGCGATTTTTTCATTTTTGGTGTGCTCATCAAGAAGGTCAAGGCCCAATTATGCCATCAGACAAGCAATGCTGCGTTCCTGGATGTAAAGAGACTGAAGGTACCTATGTCAAATATATGAATACCCGTCATACTCGTTTTACTGTCGTAAGTATTATAATATATTAATGTTATTTTAAAGTGTCAATCAATTTTATAGAAATGAAATAGAAATTGGTAATTTATTTTCAGAATTAGTGTTTATATCTGAATGGTGGTCAGGAACAAAGTTGTCCATATACATAAAGAATGATGATACCTAGATACCATGGGAAAGAACATGGCTATCTTATTATGAACCATAGTTATGAAGTAGACTGGCTCATGGGTTGGCACTTCTGTGACGGTATCAAAGTTTTAGGAGTGAGTATATCGATCTGATATTTCTATAAATTACATAAATGACTTTTGTTTATAGTGTTCATAATATTTCAAACTGTTGTTGGTAAATAAAACTACATTCTAATAAAACTACAATACTATTATGATCAAAAATAAATGTAACTAAAAACATAACAATATAATTATTAATAATATGTAGAATATGCTATAGCTATATATGTATGTATATGTGTATGTACTTACATTTTTTTTAATATATTTTTTAATTTTGTATTAACATCATGCTATTTAAACAATTTGAGGCTTGTTCATTTTTAAAAAGCAAGCAAAAAAAAAGCAAGAAAGCTCCATTCAAGGTATTAAAAAAATAGATACAGAGTAATATTTTCATTGTTTTAACTAATGTTCATGTTGCAATTTATAAAATTCCATAGTGATTCTATGTAGCATTGTTGTTGCTAGATGAATGTAGTTTTAAATAACAATTTAGCTATAAAAATATAACAATACAAAGTAACTAGAAAAATAATTTCTAAACTATAGTATAGTACTTAAAATTGAAAAAACATGAGATCCTTTTTCAAAGTACCCCAGAAAGTACCGCAGAAAAGTAAATGTTGTAGCCAAAAGAGTAAAATAATTATATTGATTTTGAAATCTGTTCAGTCATAATATAGATTAGAATGCACAAACATGCAGTATTAATTCCAATAGACAATGTATGTTTATATGTATATTATAAATTTATTTTATACTATATGAATTATATATTTTAATTTTATAATAATTTCTGCATAAACATTCCCTGTACTCAATATATTCAATTCATTTAACATAACTTAAAATAATTGGAATATTTTCATGATATGTATTATAAATTTAGTCAGTTATAACTTATAAACTAGTTAATAACATTAAATATTTAATGGTGAAATAGTTAATGAGTTATACAATAGATACTTAATTAAATATTTAGACCTGAATTTGCTAATAACATGGCTATCTCAAAGCTGAGTTTCATAAATGAGTGATGTTAAACATACATCATAATATAAGTTTTTTCCTATAAAATTTCCATTTAGAAAAAGATAAACAATTCTTTATTTAATTAAATATATAAGCAAATGAACTATCTATTGGCCTTTATGGTTGTTAAACTTTTGTGATTTCAATGAAATTTCATTATGGACATAAATTCCCGAATCCCATTCCAAGTATTTCTATATACTTGGAATGGGATTCGAGGAGCTCTTCAATATGGTTTTCGCTACTATATCGAAGTTCAGATCGAGAAGATGTATCTGTAAAGATATGTATGCTATCAGAAGCTTGTTGAATAATACCGGCGCGGGCACTGGCTTAGTAGTTTCTTGGCTCAATTTTGCATTTAGGACATCCTTAGACTGTCTCTTCTGTGTCACGGGGCTTATTATTGAGATGAGAATTTTCAGGAGGAAGGCGTCAAATCGAAAACGCGTTGTGGATTTACTTGAGGTATCTGTTCCATACGCGTCACCCATATTACGTTCCTTCTGTGCTGAAATCGTTTTTGAAAATATACGCGCATGGCGCATTTACGATTTTTCTAAAATTAATCAAAAGAACAACAATCTTTTGAAAAATATATCATAGCTACATTATGAAATTAAGTTGAATTTGGAATTTGAAGTCAATCGCGAGATTTTGAGCTTCACACTACGTTTGTATTGGAAATCGGTAATATTGTAAGAGCTTATAGGATGATTGGTAGTTATAATTTATATTGTAATCCCTTAATTATATATACTCAGTCTATGGTATAATATAATCTATAGGTACATATAATAAAGAGGTCGAATGTCTGTACATAGAAAAAAATGTTAAAAGCCGAGTCGGGGACGTAAGAAGAGAAATAGAACAAATCCAGTTTTTTTTTCATTTATTTCTGTCTGTCTGTTTATAAGGGCTAATCTCCAAAACTGTTGGACTGATTTAAATGAAATTTTGATGGTGGTACCTTATATCCCCGGTCAACATTTTAAATACTTTTCTTCCCGGAAAATCAAAGAGTTCTCGTAGGATAGTTAAAAAACTATAGTAACTTATAAAGCTTAGTACAGAACAACTTATGCACGTAATTTAGTAAAATTTGGCATGCACTTTATATTGCCGGTCAAACAATAGGCTACTTTTTATCCTGGAAAAATATACGGTTCCCGAGGGATAGATTTGTTCATGTTTATCTAGAGGCGAACCCGAGCAAAGCGAGGGTAAGCCGCTAGTATACAAAATATAATCTAAACCCAGTGTAGTTGTAAATTTAATTTATTAGAATGAATAATATTGTAATAACAGCACCATATCAAGTTGTAGCAACAGTTACAATAGTTTGCCGTAGCTTCTTGCGATTTAAGAAAATTAAATACATATAAGAAATAGTGTTCCTTTTGAAACCTTTTGTTTTCAATACATATTATAATAAAATTCTAACTAAATCAAATCTGTACATTAAATATTTTTTAGAAAATCTTATTGAAATCGTCATTATTATCGATACAGAGCCGAATCTATAGTTTTTAGAATGTTCGTCTGTTTGTCTGTTTGGGAATGTATAACGAGAAAATCACTGAACAGATTTTGATGAAATTTTGTATGATGATATCTAGTTATCCGGATCAACATATACGAGTAGGATACTTATTACTGCGAGAAAATATCTTATCTCTGAGAAATGTATACTAAACATTAAAACGTAATTAGAGTCGCGCGAATTCGGTTCAGCAGTTTTAAAAACGTATTCGGAAATAAATATTGTGTGTAATTTTTTTACCGTTAAGTATTGAATTGTGGAAATCTCTAATATACTCGTATGTACATAATATTATGAACATGTTCCATTAATTAAAGCAAAGATTATTAACCTTACAAATCTTGACTACTTCTCTCAAAAGAGAAATGAATTCAGTACCACGTAAATTGCACTGTATGAATTGTACTGAATTTTAATTTCAAAATTTGGTTGAGAAAAGTATTATTTTAAATATATCTTTGCTATTGTTAAGCGAAAATATTTGCTAGGAATTAGTCAAAGCAAATGCGGTCTTAGCAATTATAAATAACTAGAATTTATAAATAACTATTAATAAAGATAGATCTTACCACTTTTTTGTTTATTATGATAAGTAGACTTCTATGTATAACAACTAATAACTATGTTTATAGATTAGCGGTGTGTCAAACAAATCGATACTTATAAATAACATTAACCAAAAATAAAAAATATATATTATAAAAATAAAAATCCCGACTGCATAAAAGCTAACTAAAAAGATGAAAACAAGTTCACGGAGGAATATACTCGTAGTATTATGCAGTTGGAGACGTACACGTTTCATCCTTGCCGCAAGATGTATGCAAATACATAATAATGTATAATGTATGTATGTCTCCGACTGCATAATATATTCCTTTGTGAACTTGTTTTCATCTTTTTAGTTAGCTTTTATGCAGTAGTTTCTTATTTTTACAATATTTCTTTTTTATTTACAGCTTTTTAGTTTTTGCCAATCAGACATTAGAAGTTATATTTAACAATTTTTTATCTTAAATTATTATAAGGAATACAGGAATTTTATACCTTTTTGGAATCCTTGTTATGAGACCTTTAATATGATACCCATATTGCAGAAAAAGATTTAAAAAAGTTCACCTTAAACAATGAAATCTAGCAGCCCGCATATTTTTAATTCTTGCATTAATGAGACGAATCTAACGATACCTTAATTAAAGAAATCCATCGAGTGGTTTGGAAGATATGAGGGAATAAAGAATATTAAAAACAAACATACAAAGATAGGCGCGAAAAACATACGCCTCTCCTTGCAGTCGGGTCGGTCGCACGGTTAGGTCATCCTTCTCATTTTAGGAAGTTGGTTAAATAAAATAGCTCTCTTTAATATTTTCTTTATTATTCAAATTGTTACAATAAGTAAACACTCGTTTTCTCGCCATATGTGCTATAGGTACAAGTAAGATTCTCATAGTTTACTTTAATATAATCTAAATCCTTACTTATTTAAATGTACTATCAATTATAAAATAGATATTATTTCACGTATAGCACACGTCACAAGTGCCTTTAAATAACCGAGATAATGTTTGCAACAGGTGTTTTTGTTCAGAATATGCATGGCTGAAAATCCAAAGTCCTCCCAATATAAAGCTTCATTATGTTTTATGTACCTAATTAAAATAAAACAAGGTATTGTAATTTGAAAAGAATTTATATATAAATTGCGATTTAACGAGCAGTGTAATTATAGTAACAGTTGACAGTAAATAATGATTTTGTAGTAAATAGGGAAAGAATGACCAAAATTGCATTTTGTTTAAAGATAATTTACCTATTTCTGATGATTTAAACAGTATTAATGATACATTATATATACTTTAAAAGATGTTAAAACTACTAACATTGAGTTTAAAATATTCTAATTAAATTATTAGTCTTCGATAACAATTGTGACATGACTGCTAATCGAATTGTGTTCGTTATAATATATTTATTGAAGTAAATACATATACCTATACATATTTTTATCTATGGCTACTATGGACCCGTTTCATAGCATCATGCAATCTATATACTTAGTTTAATTGTTACTTATATTTGTTATAAGTAAACTTCAATAACGAACAGTATTGATACAATTTGCTGCTAAGTACTATTCTAAACTTAATAAAGCCTTTAACTTATTATTATCAATATAAGTTTTGCAATAATGTATGGAAGTCTGCCTGATTTGTTGACATGATTACTGCAATGCACTCCCTTGGGTAGTAGCATAATGATATACAAACCTTATAGTCTTTTTCAATAAACCGGCTATATACAAATAATAGATTTTTCAAATCGGATTAATAGTTCCCAAGATTAGCGCGTTCAAACAAATAAACTCTGTATCTTTATAATATTATATATTTTATATATGTAGCAATATACTCTATGGATCAGGCGCAGGACTTTTCTAAATAGAAAGACTTAATAACTAAACTTGACCTGACCCGGGGCTCGAACCCAGCACCTCCGAATCTGCAGCTATATTAGCCATTAGACCACAGAGGTAGACCAATAACGAAATAGCAATTATACTTGGCCAATTGAAAAATTTTATATAATAATTTCGTGTATAGAAACAACAAAATCGATTTAATTTTATTACAACGAATCTTTGTTGTTATTTACATCTACCGCTTTTTTTCTGTTGAAACAGATAAATTATGACTTTCATCTGAGGTAAATTAACATATTTTATTATAATTTGCTACATTCCCTTTTTACTTTGTGATGATATTTTTTTCTTTTTAATAATTCGCTTCGTCTTCTCAGATCGGGGGAAACTGTGTTACCATAGGACTCATTCGAAGCGTTCACATCGTTCTCTGCCAGCAACTGGAGTCACAATTATGAGAAGAAATTATCAATGTTTATATATCTATCAACTTTACTACTTAATTGATATATTTGAAAGAATGAGCTTAGATAATAAAAATTAAACAATATCTAGAATATTGAATATATGATAGTTAAGAATTACTTTTATGTTTTATTTTTGGATGATTTTATGTTTCTGGGAAATTATTTATTTATTTATATTTATTTTAATTATTGAAAAGAAATCAATCAGTACACATATTTCAAATAATAAACTTTGCACGGAAGTGTATAGGGTCAAGTGGGAGACAGTGTAAAAAGACTTTTTGTTACATTGCAACTAAAAAAAATATTTTTAGAAAAAAGACCCTTTTATATTTAACAACTCGTCTTCTTAATATTAACCATACAATCATTGATATACAAAAGCTTTATACATCAATGCATAAAATATAGTCATTAACCTTCCTATTATGTTTGAATTAATATCAAAATTATACTTAGAAACTACTTATTTTTGTAGTTTTCTGAGATCACAAATTTGTTATACTGTGCCCCAGGTATGGGGTACATTAGACTAAATTTACATCAAACGGAAAAATATAGACAATAAAAACTTTTACACAATCAATTATATTCCATAACATATTATTGGTAATCAAAATAAATAAATTTAAAATATTATCTTTTCTTAACTTAGATTTAAGTGCCTCACTATTTTTTTGGGAATAAATAGCCTGATGTTTTGTTTTTTTTTCATATTAGGTAATGGCAATATAAGCTCAATATCATCTAGTCTGATGGCAGGAAGATCTGGTTCTAAAATAAAACAAAAGAGATATTATGGAATTTATTACTTTTGCGTAGGTAATTGACGCACCCCGTTACATTTTACTCCATACCCTTCATTTTAAAAAAAATCGTTAAAGTTTTATGGCAAAGATCTATCTAAACACTAAATATTTGTAGATTAAAAGAAACATCTATTTACTTATCACACACAATTATTTTTGTGATTATAAACTTATTTTAATGTTCATGCTGCGGAACCCTCAGTGTGTGAGACAGACTCGCACTTGTCTTATTTTTATTATAATGTCTAGGATGTAACTGTTTAAATTATATTATTTAGCATTAAATTATTACAGTTTTTACTGAACCTCAGGGCTGAGAAGAACTGGCGAAAGAACTCGGCGAGAGTTTTAATGTTTTATATTTTTTTGTAAGTAAAATTATAAATTACAATAATTGTACAACATTAAAGTAGGCTGGGGGCAATCACACCATCCTCAAGGCGTGCGGTGCCATCTTGTATTAAATCATTTTGTTATATAATTTTAGCACATCATCGTTACATGATTATAGTATGTATGTATATTGTATACAGGGTCATTTTTAACTTACTGAAAACCTTTTGGGAATATACTATTTACACCATAACAACAACATCTGTAACAAAAAAATAATAATATTTCTATTTTCTTCCTATTATTTCCAAATTGCTTAAATTTATTAAAATATTTGCATTTTCCAAAATAAAATTATATTAATTAATCTTTTATTGCCGATTAAAAGGACTTGTGGAGCAGTGTTAAATTTGAAGATTAATTAAAAAGATAAATTAAGGTATATACCAAATAGTCTAAATTTTCTAGAACATCTTTATTTTTTAAATCAAAGGTACGCCATACTTTTCTTAATCATTTTCTAGCACAGATGCCCCATTCAAAGAAACTGGACAGCGCTATTTTGTGCTATTTTTGTTTTCTTATGTAGACTATAGATGGTATTGGACCGTATTTTATATAACAACTAGCGACTCACCCTTGCTTCGCTCGGGTTCGTCCCTACTAGTATAGTATTATGTGATCTGCGGTCCCTACTTACGTTTTAACGTTTAGTATAGATTTCTCAAAGATGAGATATTTTCCCACAGTTAAGAGTATCCTATATGTTGACCGGATCATCCACTATAGATTCGGCCTCTGTATCGATAATAATTAATAATGTCTATTTCAATAATATTTTCTAAAAAATATTTAATGTACAGATTCGACTCACTTTGAACTTTATTAAATGTATAGATTAATTTTTTAATACCTGTGTACTTGAATATATGAAATATAGCAAAATTCATTGTGCATTTAATAAAACTAATGCAAACTTTACTGTTTTTAATTGTGGTAAACGACTCATAAAGTATCAATGGCATCTATGATCACAACAAAAACTTTTATCTTAACTTGGCTGGTTTTCTACAATGAATAAACTTTAAAAACAAATTAAACGCGTTCTTTAATTGTACTTTACCTACGGTATTTATACAACCGGCATATACCTTTTTGAGGTCAATATTTTTTCTTTATTGGCTTCATACAAATATTAATAGAAAATCGATACAAAAATACCGCCATCTGTTGACGTCTGCTTGAACCAATTTCTGAGTGATTCTGATGGTATGTTTGTACTAATATATTATTATGTCATCTGTATCTATAAATTAAGTTCGACTGCGTCATTCGAACAATAATATCAATATATAATATTGTACTCGATCTGAAAAACCTGTCTCATTTATAGTCTCACTGTTCTTGTAAAATGTTGTGTAATATTCTGTTCGGTACCTCTTTTGTGGTTTTATTAGGTTTATTTAGCAATGGGCAAGCAATACGTAAGTGCAGCGTTATTATTTGAATTTATATCCACGCAAAGAAATTTAACACTTAAGCATGTGAAATATAATACTTTCTTAGATTTACGCGAATATTTGACACCCATAATTACTAATATTATAAATGTGAAAGTGTGTTTGTTTGTTTGTTTGTTTGTTTGTTTGTCTTCCTTTCACGTCGAAGCGGCTTGGCGGTTGGTGTGATTTTTTCTATAGAGATAGTTAGTTGGAGGGCTGAGAGAGTGAGTGCTGAGAGGCTACTTTTTACCGCGGGAGATTATCTCTTTCCCATGGGAAAACACGTTATAATACAATCCAAAAAAAATATTTATGATCAGAATTACTTGAAACTTGGTATAAATTGGGTTTTTTATAGTTTTAGCGCGAGCGAAGGCGCGGGTTCTGCTAGTTTTAAATAAAACTATCTTTTCGGAATATTTCGCGGAATTATTTTTATTTTTGGTTCCCGACGTTTCGAATGCATTACAGCATTCATGGTCACGGGAGAGACTGGGGTTTTAGACGTCTCCAAGGCGTTATACACCTACTTGTTACAGACAGTGCCTACCCACTATTTTACAAAAATGATTTCAAAAATTCAAAAATGGCACCGTATAGAACTTAGGTTAAGCAAACTATAATGGAAACCTTTATTAATGCTTTAAGTATCTACGGACTACGCATTATTGCATTACTTGTTTTTACTCCAACTAGCACGAAATTTTTTTTATCGACTTTAAGAAAGAGTAGAGTACTTAAGTTCGTTTACGTTGAGGGTTAAAGGTCTTGTATTAATTTCAAGAAAAAAAATCTCTCTGTTTAAATGATATATTGATATAGTATAGGTACATATCTGTGACATGACCGGTGAGAGATCAGGCGCAGGACCGACGGCTTTACGTGCTCTCATAAGCACGGTATTTACTTACCGCCAATTTCCCAACTCCGGGCTGTTACTAAGAATTTCTTGGCAGAAAAGTAAAGAGCTACACTTGGTCTGACCCAGGTTTCGAACTCAAGACCTCTGGATCTGCAGCAGAACACGCCAGCGACTAGACTGTCGAGGCAGTTAATATATAAATTAACTATAACGTTCCGCGCATCTTCAGTAATTTTTATTTCATTTATTTTATGGTAAATTAAAACCATGAACCAGTATCACTCTTTAAAATCTCAAATATATTACATAATATATTGTTAAGCTTTCTTATAAGGTCTTCAAATTATACATAAGAAAATAAGTCTTTAATAATAAATTAATATAATAGGAAATAATTTGATTACTTCAAAATTAAAATGGAATACTAATTGACTTCGATCAACAGCAAGATTGTTTATCGAAGTCAATTGAGTTTATTACTTCTAACAATTAATATCTTAAAATTTATTTTATTTACATATATGAATTTATTTTTGAGTCACTTATTTTGTAATATCAAGTTTGGAGATAAACTTAATTGTATGAAGTTAATAATTTGGAAAATTATATTATTAAATCTAAAATTCTGAAATATTGTTATTTTGTTTAATAAAATGAAACTGTAAGTTAGGAATACTGAACTAAATTTTAGGATGTTTTTATAAAAAAATAATTAAAATTTCACTTCCGGCTGATTGTTATAAAATATGGCGATAACCGTTGAAAGAGGCAGTTTTTGGACAGACGTGCATTACGCCAGAAAAGATAAGTAATCGTTGTTAAAATAATATTGAATTTATGCTGGTAAACTTATTGATTAAAATAGTGGTGAACTTACCTATGTGTAAAAAGTAAAATGATAAAGAGTTTTCCTGTGATTGGTTAAATAGTAGTGATATAAAGTGATCGTTAAAACTACATTTAATTGTTATATTAGATGGAAATACAAAAATTGAAGTGACATTATAAAACTTATAAAGTAAAAAGTGATAATATAAAGCTTATTGCGTTGGTTTACTGTGTTCTTATTTTCCTCGTCCTGAAATTATATGTTTATTTATACACTGTTTTATCAATATACAGCTTATTTCCTTCCTCAATATAATTGCGAGATTTTAACATTTGGTATTTTCTTTAATCAACTTGTTATGCTATTGTTACGTTCTATGAGTTCGGGGATCGGAAATTAAAGCAAGTCTTTTGCACTACTTATATTTTACTAGCATTGCCGCGGCTCCGCCTGCGTTCAGATGACCAAAAACCAAATTCTTAGGTTTTACATAATAGTATACTCTTAAATTGCAGTTTTTGGTAAATTTTTTTCAGAAATAAGACATTTTCAGATATACCATATATAGAACTTATATATGGTACAATAATTAATTACGATACTATTCTGTGCTTATATAGTAACTGCTTGACACACTATTTTGATAACATTTGGTATTTTTGACTTAGGTATTCCCGAATCACAATTCGTTCGCCATAAAGTCGTAACACCTGTACTACATCATGCCAGAACAAAAAGATTAATAACTTCTACCATGGATACGGTAAATTTCTGCTCTTACCTATATAGTAGAATATTAAGTTGATAGTCTTAACTGATCTCCAGGTAGTGTCGTCAGCGGCGTATGAGAATTTTTTAATGGGTCTTTTGACTTTAGTGACCACTTTCCTTCATTTTACCTATGTAAATCCATTTCTAACTACTCCAAGATATTTTAAAATACTTGTTATATTATTATTGCTTCACATTAATAAACTGGTTTAAATATTTTATTGGAGTTGATGTTATTTCCTTTCATAGTCCAAATATTTAGATTTCAAGAGATTTAATTTTTAACTACAGAATGGTATGCACCACCCAGAGGTAACGATGAAGATAGATATGGACGGACAGGAACATGTCCTAGACTTACGAATCAATACTGACCTCGTGGCTGGTGACTACGTTATTGGCTATCAAAAAGATGGTGAGACGGTTCTGTATAAACCTTCGATTGAGGTACATCAGAATTTGTAACAAAATTCTATTAAAATGTAATCAATACTGCCTTCAAATAGACTCTAATGAGCGACGTTTTTGAAAGTTTATTAATTACTACGACCATAGAAGTACATAATAAATAGATGAAAGATATAATATCCATACTAATATTCTAAATGTGAAAGTGTGTTTGTTTGTTTATTTATTTGTTTATTTGTTTGTCCTTCTTTCACGTCGAAACGGAGAGACGGATTGGCGTGATTTTTTGTGTGCAGATAGTTGGAAGACTGGGGAGTGACATAGGCTACTTTTTGCCGTGGTAGATTATCTCATTCCCACGAGAAACGACGTTAAAACACTACTCAAAAAATATATATGAGCAGAATTACTTGAAACTTGGTATTAATGCTCTTCAATACAATTAAATAAATACATGTTTTAGCATTTTTCGAAATTCATCCCTTAAGGTGGTAAAATAGGGGATGAAAATTTGTATGAAACCTACCTTTTTAGAGTTTTTTTATATAGTTTTAGCGCGAGCGAAGCCGCGGATTCTGCTAGTAATCTATACTAATATTATAAAGAGGTAAAGTTTGTGATCTTGTGAGTTTGTGAGTTTGTGACGTTGTAGGGGGTAATCTCTGGATCTACTGAACCGATTTTCAAAATTCTTTTACCAATAGAAAGCCACGTTCTTTCTGAGTGTCATAGGCTATATATTAACCCGAAAAATGAAAAGGCTTTTTCGTGGTGGTCGGATTTGCAAAGTAAGTCGGAGAAAAAACGGTCGAACGAAAACGTTTCTTACGAACGCTGCCTTAACGATGAGAGATATATGATTATGTTCTAGAGTAAAGTTGTAGAGCTTAATAATGCCTACAAAAAAGTCAGCGACAGCATATGCCTAACTTTTATATTTAAGTCACAAAAAGTAGTTGTTTATATTAAAAAGATAATTTAAATCGGTAGGTCATGTTTATTGGTCATATTATCAACAATTATGAATTCTTATCAAAATAAGTAAATTTATCGTCTAAAATGTTTAAAACAAAAGACTTTTTCCTTTTACTGCATATAATTTGGACAAATGGTTAAAGAGATAATACAACATATTCGTAGGTATGGACGAACCCGAGCGAGCTGTTTGTCTGTTTTTCTGTTTGTACGGGCTAATCTCCAAATCTATTGGACCGATTTAAATGAAATTTTGCATAGTGGTACCTTATATCCCCGGGTGATACTTTAGATACTTTTCGTCCCGGAAAATTAAAGAGTTCCCGTGGGATAGTTGAAAAACTATAACAGCTTATACAGCTTAATACACAAAAACCACTGATTGGATTTTAACAAAACTTTACAATAATATAGCTCATACATGACAGTAACAAATCGGCTACTTTTTATCCCGGAAAATAAAAGAGTTTCCGTGGGATAGTCAAAAAACTATAGTAATTTATACAGCTTAGTACACAAAAACTACTGATTGGATTTTGATGAAACTTTACAATAATATAGTTCGTACATTAGAATAACAAATAGGTAACTTTTATCCCGGAAAAATGTACGTTTCCCGTGGGATAGATGTTACGTATTATGTACACAACATAGACCCCAAAACAATAGTTTATAAAAAAATTGTCTGTTTGTCTGTTTGCCTGTATGTCTGTTTGTCTGTTTTTGTGTGCGCGTTTCACGCGAAAAGTAATGTACCAATTTCAACGAAATTTGGTGAAGTGATAACTTATTACTCGAGTCAACATTTAGGGTACCTTTTGTATGTATGTATGTATTCAGCCCTTTTTAACGTACCACTGCTGGGCACGGGCCTCCCTCCAGTTGGAGGTGGATCAGGCCATAGTCCACCACGCTGGCCAAGTGCAGGTTGGTGGACTTCACATGTCTTTCGAAAACTTGCTAGGTTCTGTCAGACATGCAGGTTTTCCTTCGCCGTTAAGACAAGTGGTAATTGTGTTAGAAATGATTCGCACATAAAAATATCAGAGGTGCGAGACCCGGGATTTGAACTTGCTTTACTCGGTTTCCCAAGCGAGCGCGTTATCACTGAGATACCACTGCCTAGATACCTTTTACTTAAAGAAAATCTTTCTTTCCCACGGGAAAATACAATAACTGGTTTTACCAAGTCCTGCCTAGAAACCTTCCGCTGGCTAAGCCTTAAGACATACATACATCAAAACAATATACTAAAAAATTGTAGGTCTTGAAAAGTCCTACAGAAAAGTTCTGAATAGTATATGTCTATCTCCTAAGTTACACTCGCAATATTTATTCTTATCTATACCTATAATAAAACTTAGTCAAATCGATGTGCACGTTTCACGCAAAAAGTACTCAACCGATTTTAACTTAATTTTGTATAGTGATAAAACTTAGTGCTCGGGTCAACATTTAGAATACCTTTTACGACAGGCAAATTATTCATTCCCACAGGAAAACACAATAACTGGTTCTATCGAATTGTCCTTAGAAATTTATATGGCTAACGTTGGCTCAACCTTAAGAGATAGATCAAAACATTGTACAAAAAAATTGTAAGTCTTAAAAAGGTCTGTAGAAAAGTTCTACATAGTATATGTCTATCTCCTAAGGTACACTCGCTATAACTATTTTCATTATTATATATTACTGTTTTATTATACGTTATTTATTCTATCTGAATATACCTATATGAATAATAAAACTGTCGAGGTCGAATGTCTGTACATAGATGGTAGAAAAAAATTCTAAAAACCGAGTCAGTTCTCTTCTTACATCCCGTAAGGAGAGAAATAGAACAAATCCAGATTTTTTTCAATTTTTTTGTTTCTCTGTCTGTTTGTCTGTTTGTACGGGCTAATCTCCGATAATCTAGAAAATTAAAGAGTTCCCGTGGGATAGTTAAAAAACTATAGTAACTTATACAGTTCAGTACGCAACAAATTATGCACCTAATTTGGTAAAATTTGGCATGCTGATACCTTATATTGCAGATCAAACAACAGGTTACTTATTTTTATCCCGGAAAAATGAACGGTTCCCGTGGGATAGATCAGTTTGTGCTTTTCTAGAGGTGAACCCGAGCGAAGCGAGTGTGAGCCTCTAGTATTATATAATACTATGCAATAATGACGCAAACATTTTTATATTTATTTAGGTTAATTTAAGAAGTGGTAGTACTTGTTGACAGATATTTTGTAAAATATTACTTAATACTCCAGGAGTTAGACATCTGCCAGTACTCGGGCACGGTGAGGGACAGGAAGGGCTCGTGGGCGGCGCTGTCGACGTGTCACGGGGTTAGAGGCATCATACACGATGGGAAGCAAACAAGATACATTGAACCCGTAGGTATGTACATAAGGTGAATGCTCTAGCTTCTGCCTACCATATGTATATTTAATGAATCGAAATCTGATCAGTTTAACGATAGGTTACAGAATTGTTTAGACTTCTATTCCATCTTTTTCAACCGACTTCAAAAAGGAGGGGGTTCTCAATTCGACTGTATGTTTTTTTTTATGTTTGTTACCTCAGAACTCCGTAATTTTTTAACCAATTTGGACAATTTTTGTTCTGTTTGAAAGGGTATACTTCCAGATTGGTCCCATTTAAATTAAAAAAAAATACCACCCCTAAGGGTGGAAAAACAACTAATGATGAATTTAACCTACTTCTAATTGTCATATTGACTTGAAACTTTGCAAGTATTTCTATTTCCGTTGATAGTACAGTGGTTCGGTGTTGTTGACCTGATCTGATGGCAAGGCCAGAAGGTGGATAGGTGGAACTCTTCAACGGCTAATAGTAGATACTAAAACTTTTTAACAAAAAAATAAAAACCGACTTCAAACAAAAGCACTAAAAAGTAAAAAATAACTGATTGGTAGTTTTCATTTACTATACATACCTAATCAAATATTTTCGAAGTCGGTGTGCTTTGGCTAAGTAATTAAAGCATATTAAATACATACCTAATTAAATATTTTCGAAATCGGTGCCAGCCCATACAAAGCAAAAAAAGTTTTTGTTAAAAAGTTTTTATTTTACTGTTCATATGAGATGGATATTTGGGTGTCACCTTAATATCATACCTTAAGTATATCGTATCTTAATGGCCACTGTCTTTTGAATTTATGTTATTATTTAAGATACGAGTTCAAATTTAACCTATGTGGTGTCATCGGTGAAATATTAATTATTTCAAAATCGCATGAATAAGAAATTGATTTATAAAATAGGAACATCAAACACTTATTTATCCCTCTCCATAATGTGTTTGTAGTCTACGTGCTGCATAAAGTTCATACCGAATAATTCATAGATTTAGTTGACGAGACGAGAGTTTGCGTTTTTTAAAAGAAATGTACGTTATGATTGCATCTATTTCACTTACAATAATTTGAATTTGATTTTTGATTAGTTTTATCAAATTTTAACGTAAATATAATAAACTATTGCATGAATTGTTGAATCTTCTTTGGTTTTTTAGGAAATAACATTGACTCTACATATTATTTCTACGACCATTTCGATTTAAAAGAAAACTTAAAATTTGAGAGTGATGAAGATATTAATAAAATCAATGTTCTTGATTTAATAATTAAAGAAGATCGAAGAAAGGAGAAGAATGCATTAAGTCGGGTTCGTATAAAATATTATGAATTGAAGAGTAAAATAAATATAAATATGTTGGGACATTAACACACACAGCACACAGCACTATTTAGTTCCGTGGTAAGCTACGAGGCTTGTGTTATGGATACTACCAGATAGTTAGATACACTACACATACGTAGCTTTAAACACATACATATTATAAATATAAACACCTATGAATGGAGTACAAACATTCGTGCTCATCACACAAATGAATGCCCCCAGCGGAAATCGAACCCGCCACCGTTGGCACGGCAAATAGGGTCACTAACTCAAAGGATTGTTTTCTTTTCTGCACCGCGTGGAACACTTATTTTAAAATTGTTTCTTTTAAAGTGATTCTTTAGTTATTGTACCTTTTTTCTCAAAAAGTAGGTTATATTAACTGAAATCATTTAGTGTTTCGGAATGCAATACTTTGTTCTGAATAATCCTACCCTCACGACACTCCTTATTCATAAGGAGTGTGGTGAGGTAAAGATTATTCAAACTTATTATTACACTAGCATTGCCCGCGGCTCCGCTCGCGTTCAGTTTACCAAAAACCAAATTCTTAGGTTTTACATATTAATATACTCTTACATTGCAGTTTTTGCATTTTTTCTCGGAAATGAGATATTTTCCCCCGATAAAAAGTACCCTATACCTATGTTGGCCCGGATAACCAGCTATCCATACCAAATTTCATAAAAATCCCTCTAGTGGTTTTTCTGTGATGCGGTAACAGACAGTCAGACACAAAAATTCTAAAAACTATAGATTCGGCCTCTGTATCGATAATAATGTTTATTTCGATAAAATTTTCCAAAAAAATATTTAATGTACTGATTCGGCTTAGTTACAATTTTATTTTATGTATAACATTTATACATTCGTATTTTTCATAACATCCATATTTTTAGCACAAGCGTGACTCAACTATTGCAGAGAAAATTAAACTGAAAGGGCCTTTTAATTCAGACCAATTTTCCCGCTACTTAGAAATAGTACTAGTCGCAGACAACAATCTTTATAAGAAGCATGGAGAAAACATTACTAACGTCCATGAATACCTGAAGAACATCGCCAATATCGTACACTCTGTAAGCTATTCATAAGTTTATTATTTCAATTTATTCATTTAATTGTTTAGATACAATTTTAGATTAAAATTGCTCCTTATTTATCGTTTGTGGAGATTACGAGCTTGATATATACATATCTTACAAATCTTAATATCTTAAATATAACTAACTATACTTCTTCGGTGATCTAGTGGTTAGCATGTGCAGCTGCAGATTTGAAGGTTCGAGTCCCGGGTTGGGCTAAGTATAGTTATTGAGTCTTCCTGTTAAGGAAGTCTTAGTAACAGCCCAGAGTTGGAAAGTTGGCGGTGTTACACCCCTGTGCCTCGGAGAGCACGTAAAGCCGTCGGTCCTGCGCCTTAACTCTCACTGGTCGTGTCTCATGTCATCCCACCGGAGTATGAGAGTGACAGGAATAGAGAGTGCACTTGTGTCTGCGCATAGGTACACTTGTGAACTATAATATCTCCCGTGCATATGACTATTATTTCCTCTAATACTGTAAATGTGATTAAATAAATTTTTGATAATATTATTAATTTTTCAGTTATATGCCCCTTTAAACATTTTTGTAGCACTTGTTGGTGTAGTTGTCTGGAATGAGAGGGACGAAATAGTGATACAAGCGAATATTGATACTGTTTACACAAACTTCCTACATTATAGAAAGAACAAGCTTTTGTTTACTATTCCTAATGACAATGCACAATTGGTTACGTGAGTAATGATGCTAAACGATTTAAAAAAATAATTAAATTATAAAAATACCCTATGAAATAGAATTTTAGTATGTAAGCCGGGGAATATTGTGGAGTTTATAATTGTATATATATACAATTATAAACTCTAAAGAATAGACATTTTTTGATGGATCATAATTTTAACATCGACAAAAAAAATTAAAATTGGGTTACTAGATAGTAGGTACCTATTACTTTCGAATATACATCGTTTCAGAATGCTATAAAGTGACTTGCATAAACAGTTCTGGTACTCTATTACTTGGATTTAAAAGCTTTAAAGGCTTTAAATAAATTTATCTTTTCGGATTTTTTTGCGGATATATTTAGATTTTTTGTTCCCCACGATCTGAAAGCTTTACAGCGTAATTTTTCAGGCACCACTGGGGGTGTACAACATTTTCAATTCCATAAGTAGTTTCAGAATACATCAAACTACTTTGAGCTAAAAATTTAGCTTGCTGACATACATTTTAATTTCCGATCGTATTAGACTGAATGGATATACATATGTACATTGATAGGTACGTTTGTAGAGAATCCAAAATAATTTACAAAGTAAGAAAGCTGGATCAATTTTAATGAAATTCGAATATTTAATCCGAACACAATTTCATTCTGATTGATTGCCGCAAAGGAACTTGAGTTCTCCTTTTTGCTTTGAACACACAATCTTATATCGAATTGACTATTTGTTGAATATAATGCACTAAAATCTAACCCATACCATATTCATTACAGAAGCTCTATATTCGAAAATGCAGTACAAAATCGAGCTTTTCAAGGAACGATTTGTACATCTTCTTATTCTGGCGGTGTCAACTCAGACCACAAACAAGCTGCGAATATACTAGCACTCTTTATTACTCACTCTATTGGCCACAACTTAGGTTTGAAACATGACGATGAAGATTGTTTATGTGAAGACGAAGCCTGTATAATGAATCCTATATTTTCTACAAGGCTCATAACGCACTGGTCGTCCTGCAGTTTCTTAGATTTAGCTTCGAATTTTGATAGAGGCTTGGATTATTGTTTAAGGTAATTTTACTAATATTTGTTAAGAGTGCCTTATATATATATTATTGTGAGCTAAGGATTCTGGGATCATATCACTTAACTTTTAAGTATTTTCCTCTTTTCATATTACTTCACTTAACTCTGAACATCAACAATCACGCGACACTGCTGCTACTACCGCACTTTTTATGTACATAAATAAAAAACATTCTAGTATTTGAAAGTTCGTTGTTTTATAGTAAAATCGTTTTTTTTTTGGAAATGTCATTGATATATCATACGTTGACAACAGGTCTTGGCATCTATTCTTAAGCATGGCGTGCATTTTATGCAACAAAATGAGTAGCTTGGATTAAAGTCCTTCTTTATTTATATACATAGTTACCACAGAACATATATATTTTTTTAATGATGGAAAATGCATTAACGCATACCAGCTGTAGATACAGGGGGTTAGGTGGGTCTCACCGGATAGAAAAGCAAGTAATACCCACTAAAACCCAACAAAACCTCCCCCGTCTTAATGGGTCGTCGCAGAATCGCTTACGCACTCAACTACGACGCCTCAACAGCAGGTTTGCCGAAGCAGACCACAACAACCATATGGTTGCTCCAACGGTCCACCTTGTCAACAGAAAAGTACCGGGAGCACCCGCATGGTGCACCGCCCACCGAAGTCGGCCACCTCCCTGTGCATTTCTTGGCTTCGCGACCGGCTAAACTGCCTGAGCTAATGAGCCCCCCCACCACGACAAAGGGAAGCACGTTGGGAGGGAACCTAACTGACCTTACCTAATTCAAAGATTTTTCTTGCATATATTTCGCACCAAAGTCGAAATCTTTTTTTTAAATATAAGGATAATAACGATTTTTGATCAACAAATTTATTTTCCGTGGTCAAATAGAGTCGGAATATAATGGGTAATCCATTATATTGCGACTCGACTTTATATATATCTTAGTATCACTGATGTTATGATTCCAATATAGATCGTTTATTTGATTTTTTTATTTTTATTCTTAGAAACAAGCCCAAAAGTCTCTTCGGTTCGTCCACCTGTGGGAATGGTTTCGTAGAGTCCAATGAGGAATGTGACTGTGGAGCAAACGCGACCGAACTATGTGGTCGGTGTTATAATATAGAAACTTGTTTAATGAGGTCTAACGCGACATGTGCTGTAGGAGAGTGCTGTGATCCATGGGTGAGCATAGGTCTTTAAGTTGGACTACTATTTAAAATGCTAAACTTTGTCAATATATGTGTGTGTCTGTGTGTTACAACTTACATATATAGGTCTCATTTATGCTGCTTGACGGATTTGGATGAATAGGTACATAGATAGAATATAACGTCCTTAACACCTCCAGGTAAATTTCTAAGATATTGATTAAATTTCTAAGAAATCTATTGTTAACTGTAACGCCGGTGTGTCCGCGGCCGTAGGGGGATTAAGGGATGAATTTCGACAAATATTAAAACATGTATTTATTTAATTGTATTGAAGACCGTTAATACAAAGTTTCAAGTAATTCTGATCATAAATATTTTTTTGGGTTGTAGATTAACGTATCCCGTATTCCCGTAGGAATAAGATTATTTTCCGCGGTAAAAAGTAGCATATGTTACTCCAGCCCACTAAATTATCTCCACACAAAAAATACGCCAATCTATCACTCCATTCCGACGAATTATGTCAGTTGAATGAAAGAATGATAGTGGGAGATAACTTTTGATTGCCCTAAAAAGAAAGGTAAGATGCCAGGTCCGTTATCCAAATTATTCAGCGTTATGTCCTCTGCTCGTGCTGGGGGTTCTTTGATGTTCATAACCCATTGCAGCCTATGATCAGTCACGATTTTAAATTTTCTACCGAAGAGATACTAATGATGCCTTGTTCTAACATTTTACTAATTTGATCTTGAACTTCTTGCCTATGTACGAATGGATAACGGACCTTTACGCGCTGAGACGTTTGTTCGGTGCGCATGCACTCAACGTTATAAAGGTGAGCACATACGGGGCGGTCCATAGAAAAAATTACATCGCTACGACTCGGGTTATGGATCTCTAATATACCTCTCTGGTTTTTTACAGTGGTTAAACATTCACTTATGTGACAATTAGATATAACCTGGTCCGGAATAATAACTTCGCCATCTCGGGTATTAATCGGTAACCTAACTAATTTAGAGGAGCCAGCGGGTATAATATCTTCATATAAATTAGCGTTCCGCGAGTCATAAACGTGTATGGGATTTGACGCGTTTTTTGTTAGTAGTAGCTTAGATTTAAAATCAATTGTAGCTTCCCACTTGTCTAGCAAATCGGATCCTATCAACCCGTCGAAGTAATCATGAAAGTTATAGACAAATAGTGTTACGTAACCGCTATCTTTTAATTCCGAAAAGCAAGGTAAGGTTATCGAATAGTCACTACGTGTCACCGCGTGCACGTTGCATACTTCAAAAGGATCATAATTCAATCTTACATTACTAAAATAAGTCTCGACTGCCTTAGGGCTAATAAATGATTGATTCGCGCCTGTGTCTATCAGCAACTTTAAAGGAGGATTTTTAAATTGCAAGTATGGAAGTTGGCGTTGTGTTTGAAGATTGACCTCTATTTTGGTTTGTCTGACTTTCGAATATCGCGAAAATCCTCTTTTACAGTAGCCGGTTCGTCATTATTAGATATGCAACAATTCACTTCAGGCTGCGGGTAATAACTTTGATCATATTCAATATCATGGTAATTATCGGTATAGCATTCATTAGGCTCATAGTAAGAGTAAAAATCGGAGTAATAATCGCTATAATCATGGTAATTAACGCAATCATTAAAGTTTACTTGGTTACTTTTGAAATAATTGTTATGAGGGGGATTACCGTGTAACGCATTATTAGGTGGCAACGCTTTCGGTATAAAATGACTTACACCACTCATGGGCTTCGGATACTGGGAACCAAATTGTGGTACAGGGTTACGCGGTGTGAATTTAAATGCATTATTAGGATTATAATTAGGGGGAGGAGCTCTAAACATTTGTTGAGTACGTGTTGGACCCGCCGGATTTTGAGTATTAAAATTAGGTCGCCATTGCAGGGGTCCTTGCGGCGTCATTGGTTGTACGAACGGGACCTTTGATGGTCCGGGCAAATTAAAAGTGAATGGCCTAGGCTGCGGTATGTTAAAACCTTGCATAGATTTTTGAGGTGTCATTTGAGGAATTGGTATTGTCTTTTTGTCAGGTAATTGATTATTACGCTGCTGTAAATAAACGACGTTTTGTTCCTCGTGAACAAACTCTAAAGCTTTTTCGATATTCTCCGGCCGCATGCATCTAATTCGCGAACCTAATGGGTCTTTTAGACCACGTATAAAAGCTTGAAGGGTTAATTTTTTATATAGATCCCTCTTTGCCTGTATTGTAGTTGCTACATTTTCGTGAAGCGAAACGTAGGTCATGATTGTGCTAAATAAATTTTGACATTTTTCATAAAACTCTTGGGGGCTGTCGGAACCCTGTGTCAGTAAGGCTAAGTCATTATACAACGCGGTTTCGTCACGTTGGTCGGAGAAATTATTAACAAGTGATTTTCGAATACCAGCCCAGTCTGATGGGATGCCGTTGGAATTTATCAATCGGGCCGCGGCGCCCGTTACTTTATTTAATATTCCATTAATAAGGGCTATCTCAGCAAGTCTATTGGGTGAATCCTGGTTAGTAATAAATTCTACAACTAATTGATCGCACAAATGTATAAATCGAGTTAATACGTTGACGTTCCCGTCAAATTCCGGTACTAATCTGAGAGCTTTAAAAATGTGATCTAAGTCAGCCATTTCAACCCCTGAATTATTTAAACTAATTTCTCTATTTAAATCTTGATAGCTATTCCTACTACTAACTCTATTCTCTAACCTAACACTCCGAAATTCTCGTGGATGGAAAATCTTGGAAGGATATTATTTAACACGGGACTTAAAAGTTAGGGGTGAGCAATTCACTAAAAGAATTTTAATGTACTCACATGAATTTCATTTCGGCTTCTTCGCTGTATCGATATCTGGATACACTTGCTGCAGGTCACGACGTGTAGATTCGGATCCTCGAACGGGCTTGATAACCACCCGGGCGGTACGCGACGTGATGATAATTATCGAGTAATTTAAACCGATCGCGAACCGGCCCGCGAGTATCCTACCGACTGCGCCAATTATGTCAGTCCGGCAGGCAAGTCGCAAAAAAAACCGAAATTATTACAAAAACTTTAATTACTTATTAAATAATTACAATTTAAATTTAATTCTAATTGCGCGACAATCGTGTTCGATGTTAGAACAGAAAGTGAAGTAAAAATATAAGTCTTGAATGCGATGCCGCTGTGTGTCGCAACCGCGGGTCACGTTGGCTGATTCGGCGTTCTCACGCTCGTCCCCAGTCTGATGCAATATTTATGGGTATTGATGTGATTTCCATTGCCTTGCGAATTCCGTGGAATTTAATTACTTAACAGACGTAAAAGAAGGACAGATAAACAAACAAACAAACAAACAAACAAACAAACAAACAAACAAACACACTTTCACATTTATAATATTAGTATGGATATTGATCCATTTTCTTATTTAATAGATTTTCATACCCTTCCTAGCTTACTAAATGAGTGACAAAAATAGTTTATGCTTAAAGATATAAATTATTTTTAAGTTTTGATTCCACGGATTGTGATCAAAAATAAAATATTAAATTACTTTTATATCTTAGACATGCCAACGAAAAGAAAGAGGGACAATTTGTCGCACAGCGGCAAATGAATGCGATTTGCCCGAATACTGTGATGGCAATTCCGGAGATTGCCCAGATGATGTGTACAAAATGGACACTACACCCTGTTCTAATGACACGGTAAATTCATTAAGAAATTGTTATATTTAAGAGATAAAAGATTGTCAGATTGTTTATCTAAGGGTCACTTGTATGAAATCTTATGCTTAATTTGATTTCAGCTATCTAAATAAAAACGTCAATTCAATTCAATTATCTCGCTAATGGATTTAATGGCTAACAGATAATTTCGCAATTTTATTTATTTCTAACATTTGACATTTGTTTTATTGTTTGTCGGTTTTGATATTTAAAACATATTTACTCATTAAAAAGACGAAAAATTGTGTATTGAAATTTATAATAATAATTCGAAATTTATAATAATAATAATAATGCAGTTAAACTACAAATTCGATTTCTGATTAATGACATTTTATACTGATCATGCGTTAAAACATTACAAAAAGTTTATGCAGTTTACTGAATTACGTTACGTTAAGTTTTAGTTTAAGTTTTGCTATTTAAAAAAAACTCATAATAGGTATACCAATAATGAAAAATTATAATATACCAAAAAGACTATAATATAATAAACAAAGAAATGTTCCAGGCGTACTGTGTGAATGGTTCATGTAGTTCACATACAGACCGCTGCCAGCTGCTTTGGGGACCAACGGGAAAAATGTCAGATGCCAAATGCTATATAAGCAATATTCGAGGAGATGTGTGAGTATCTAGTGGTATATATCATAATCGTTGTATTGGGGTATATGTTTAGACTGAAAGAAAAAGACAGAGCCCGGCTGGATTGCCAGACGCTAATAAGCCTTTCCACCACGACAAGGTGAACGCACCTCAGGGATCACTGTACACTATAATTCAGCACTTTTTAATGTCCCGCTGCTGAGCATGGGCCTTCTCTTAACGCGAGGAGAATTTGAATATAGTCCACCAACCTGGCCAAGTGCAGCTTGGTGGACTTCACATGTCTTTCGAAATTAAGTTAGTGTAGCTATATACGTACTGGTTTGGTGCCAGATGGTGCTAAATGTGGCGAAGAAAAGGTATAAGTGTTTTAGATCTGATTTTTTAAACTATATAAGCCGAGCTATACGTAAAAATTGATACCTGGGGGACAGAGCTTCGCTCGAAGTAGGGGCGCTTCCAGTAGGTTGTCATCATCCATTGGCGGCAATGAAAGTATCAATAACATTTACGAGATGGCGCTATGACATTGTACGACATTGTATTAATTATATGTTTATTGTGAAAATTTGTATTTTTTCAGAAAATACTTAAAAAGCAAAACCTTATCTAAATTCAAAATTTGATCCCAAACGTTGGAGCCGTTATAATGTAAAAAAGCTCACATTCCATAGGGTTCTATTAATCATAAATCCGGTTAAGTTGAAAAAAAAACGTGTGTGTGTACTGTGTAGTTATGTACGCGCGTAAGAAGTTATACTTCTTTGACGCCTCAGAACAAAAATAGCTAAAGATTTCATCCCGTATGTCACAAGTCTCAAATCTCTGTTTGTAAAAGGAATGATAAATTAATAAAAATAAATATATTTTTTTTTGTCCCCACTGATATAAAACACGTGTTAATAGATTTATGAATAGGTAGTAGCGTTACATTTATATTACTTTTGCAGTTATGGACACTGTGGTTATCAAACAGCAGACCCAGATAACAAATCGATGTACAATCCATGTGATCAGCAAGACATGTTTTGTGGTCTCTTACAATGTGAGCATGAAAGCGAAAATTTACAGTTTGGTATGGGATGGACAGCAGTACTACGTGTCATGTTTATTTTTAATAAAGGTTTGTAAACAATAATAAAACTGTGCATAAAATAAAAGTATTCCATATTTATAATGAGAGGTATGTAGGCAGTAGAGAGGTCGTATCCGTACATTAAATATTTTATGAAAATTCTCTTTGAAATCAACTTCAGACTACAAAACAGCTAAAGCAGGAGTAGTAAATTTAAAGTGTGTGTGTCTGTATATCTGTGTATCTGTCTGTGAACAACGGATTAATCGATTTTAATTTAGTTTTTTTTTATTTGTAAGGTAAGGTAAGGACTTAATCGAGAGTATTCTTGGCTATGAATCAAGATAATTTGTTATTCAAATGGCTATTTGCAGGGTGTAAGCTCTTTTCTAAACGGTTAAATAATAAGAACCACTTCCACAGATCCAATCTATTTGAAACTAGATATACCTTTACTTTAATGTCATTACTAGGATACGATTTACATATTACTAAAATACTGCAGAGATATCGTGTTTAAGCTCATTGAAATATGTTTTTGTACTGGAGGATTTTTTTAATTTAAGAGTTATTTAGTATATGGCTAATATAACAGTATACAAGTAACTAATAGCACAAACAAGAAACTCCCAAATTAAGTTTCTCCTCCTTTTTCAAGTCAGTCAAAAACAAGCGCGTCTGCCTGCAGAATAAGGACTATCCATACTATAGTGCCAATCACGGTGCATTTTTGGTCCAATGACGGTCTGAGTGCTTTCACACTCGTCAGTAATAGTAAAGTTCCAGCACCGGACTGTGATCGGCACTATGTGATCGGCAATAGGATGGAGTGGCCCTGAATATAGAAACTGTGTCAATGCACTACGGACATAATGCACTAGTTTGTTGTGTTGTAGACAACAAATACCACAAACTACTCAGGGTCGCTATGACAATGCCAATTATTTCGTTCTAGATTCGTCGTCTGGAAAAAATGTGTCGAAGTGCAATACAGCTAATATAGATATGGGTGTGCCTGATGTGGGTTTGGTGCCAGATGGTGCTAAATGTGGCGAAGAAAAGGTATAAGTGTTTTAGATCTGATTTTTTAAACTATATAAGCCGAGCTATACGTAAAAATTGATACCTGGGGGACAGAGCTTCGCTCGAAGTAGGGGCGCTTCCAGTAGGTTGTCATCATCCATTGGCGGCAATGAAAGTATCAATAACATTTACGAGATGGCGCTATGACATTGTACGACATTGTATTAATTATATGTTTATTGTGAAAATTTGTATTTTTTCAGAAAATACTTAAAAAGCAAAACCTTATCTAAATTCAAAATTTGATCCCAAACGTTGGAGCCGTTATAATGTAAAAAAGCTCACATTCCATAGGGTTCTATTAATCATAAATCCGGTTAAGTTGAAAAAAAAACGTGTGTGTGTACTGTGTAGTTATGTACGCGCGTAAGAAGTTATACTTCTTTGACGCCTCAGAACAAAAATAGCTAAAGATTTCATCCCGTATGTCACAAGTCTCAAATCTCTGTTTGTAAAAGGAATGATAAATTAATAAAAATAAATATATATTTTTTTGTCCCCACTGATATAAAACACGTGTTAATAGATTTATGAATATTTGAGAAACTACTTTAAATATAGTTGTGAGTTTTCACGGGAACCGGAGCGGCAGTTATCAGCTAACTTCATCATGTCGCTTTCAGCTAACTTCTAAAGTAGGAATTTGAACATAAAAAAATATTTTTATCAACATAGTAAAAAAAACTATATTTTCGGATTTTGTCGCGGATTTATTTGCATTTTTGTTTCCCGACGTTTCGAATGCTTTACAGCGACAAAAACCGAAAAGATAGTTTTATTTAAAATGTCAAATATTCGCGTAAATCTAAGAAAGTATTATAGTAAAAAAACTTACGTTTTAAACAAAAATATCCTATGTCCTATGTACAACCTCACAAACTTTACTTCTTTATAATATTGGTATAGATTATAATTATTATAAAGATGTAAAATTTGTAAGTTTGTGAGTTTGTTTGTAGGAAGTAATCTCTGGAACTACTGAACCGATTCAGATGAAATTTGGTAAGAGAATAGTTTGAGATCTTAAGAAGTTTTTATCCCGGAAATCATCCGTTAAGGGTAAAAATGGGGATGAAAATCCCCATTTTCACCCCCTTCACATCATACATTTGTATGAGGAATCAACCTAACGACATTTCTGTTCCTTATGAATCCAATTAAAAAAAATGTATTAATAAGGGTAATTGACCGTGATCGTGTTTACAGACGGACATCCTAACTACATACCAATGAACGGCCTTGGCAAAAAAAAATTTGTAGAGATTTTTTGTTATATTAATTATCAGTGCAAAGACTTAGAGTGATATAAAATTTAAAGTATAAAGATTCTTTTTTTTTAATATTATACTTTTTATAGCAAATAAGTATATTATTAGTAAGGATGATTTAAGTTGAGTAGACTGCATGTTTTTGTTAACCAAGTGTTATGCACAGCCGCATTGCGGCGTGCAATATGACCATGTAATATGAAAAAAAAACAATAATATTGTCATTGGGGATACAAACCTTCAAATTCAATTACTCGAATTTTCAATTATTTTTCTCGGCCCTAGCCTTATGGATAATCTGGCCCTGTATGTAGAGGGATAAGATTAGATAAGATTCAAGGATAAGATTATCCAGATAGATGTAACTACGTATTATATGTACATTACCTTATATAAAATATAAATCTATTTACGCATGCGTGTATATTTTTTTATAGATGTGCTTAAGTCAAAAATGCGTGTCGATAGCGCCCATACGGGAAAACATTGCAAAACTAAAAAACTCCGTCTGTCCCTCAAACTGCTCCGGACACGGAGTTTGTAACTCAAAAGGTAATTGCCTCTTTTAGACATAATATTTTCATTTTGAGGTATTTCAGTCACGGCGGCCAATCTTACCACAACTAGTATTGCAAGAGATATATATATATACTCTTATATATATACACTTTATAGTGTATATATATAAGAGTATATATATATATATATATATATATATATATATATATATAATATATCTACACTATAAAGTGTGCAAGAACACTCTAGCCCTTTCCTTCTCATACTCCGGTGGACCAACACGTCAATAAAACCAGTGAGAGATAAGCCGCAGGATCGACGGTTTTACGTGCTCTGCCTCTGCACGGGTGTGAAGCATCAACCAACTACTCAACTGCTTCTAAGATCTCCTGACAAAAAACCCCAATATCTATAGCTTGCCCGACCCGTGACTCGAACTCAGGACACACGGATCTGCAGCCACATATGTTAAATCAACGAGACAGTTAGTCTAGTCATCTGCTAATGGTATACTGTAGACGTATCCCCATTTTTTATTTCATATTTCTTTAACTAATAGCGATTTAACCTTGCTTCATTCGGGTGAATACCAATGTAGATGTTCAACGGTAGCCTACGTGTTACTCCAGATCAAAGTCTATGCCCTAAATTTCATCAAAACCTGCCCAGCCTTTTCAGTGTGGAAGAGTACAGACATACACACATATACAAACTGTCGCATTTATAATAGTACTTCAAAGCATCAATTAAGATGACTTTTAATATTTAGGTCATTGTCACTGCGACTTCGGCTTCATCCCTCCGTTGTGTGAACCTTTCTTCAGCGGTTCTATTGATTCTGGTCCAGTTTTGTTGTAAGTAGATACACACATATTTTAATTATAATTATTGCTAGTAGTAAAGATCAGCCTAGATTAGATGAGATGAGATATTTATTTTCTTATTGGAATATATTTGCAATTTTTTATTGTCTGTTTCACTGTCACTTTAGACTTATATACTACTACTTACCTTTATATATACTACTATACTTTCCCAATAAAATGTATGGTAATGAAATAGAAAATGAAAGAAGTTACATATATTCATTTTCCACTATATTTTTTTTAAATCTTTTACAGATTACAACCAAAAGACGATGAATAAGCAAGGTAAATTATACTATAAAGGTGTCGTATACACATCATGGACATATCAAACAAATACTTCTGTAACCAATACAGTTTTGTTTGTTTTGTACTTATTCTTCAATGATCTCCTGATATAATTTTCAATTCAATTATCTTGTTAATCGCTTCAAAGAGTGCCAGTTGAGCATATATTACTTCATGTCTGTGTCTGTGTCTGTCTGCATGAATGTCAGAAACAAGTTAAATTAAGAACCATAATAGTTGTATCAATAATAAAGCGAATATATAAAAAAAAATAGTTTTATTTCAAACGTCAAATATTTGTGCAAATCTAAGATCGTAATATTTATAATTTATTCAAAACCAGTTTTTTTATGACGGTACCAGAGACCAGTTTCCGCTTGTTTTATTTAAATTGACTTGGAATACATAATTGATGATAAAAAATTGGCTACGCTCTATCACTTATAACAATTTCAGAAAATCTTTTCTTATCGGTTGCCAATATCATTATAAGAAAAGGCTTACGAAATTTCCTTTTAGATTTAACAGTTTGGTCTGAGCAATGAGTGTATGTAATCTATACTTCTATACTAATTATAAAGAGGTAAAGTTTGTGAGTTTGTGACGTTGTAGGGGATAATCTCTGGATCTACTGAACCGATTTAGATGAAATTTGGTAAGAAGATAGTTTTAGACCCTGGAAAGGACATAGGATACTTTTAATCCCGGAAATCATCCCTTACGGGGGTGAAAATGGGGATGACAGTTTGTAGTGAGAAGTAAGCTAGGGACGAACCAGAGCGAAGCGAGGGTGAGTTGCTAGTAATGTATATAGAAGCAAGGAAATTGAATTTGCAATCTACTATATAAATAAAATTGCATTTAAAAACAAACCTTACCTACGTATAGTTTTGGTCAATAAAAAAGCGTTTTTGAAGCCGCAGTGATAAGTGAAAACCAATGACCTAATAAATTTGGAAGATACGAGATAGATGGCGCTAGCGTATCATGCAATTTATTTATTATTACCTTAGAACAGCAAAATCGAAAGTGGCACGTCGTAACTTGATAAAATTCTAATTTCTATAGAATTGTATTAGTTAGTTATTGTTTAAAGATTTTTTGTAAAAATATGTATGTATACATTATTTTCTTTTCTATTTAAGTATAATCATTTGTATGTACATGTACGTAGTTATGTAATTTAAATGTGACTTTTTGGAGCTTACTCCTTAAGAATAGATTTTCATACAAGATGCCGGTATGGAAATTTTATGAGAAGTGAAATTAATAACGATTCTTCTTCTTCTTCGTGACACTCTTGACAGAGCGGTCGTGGTCATCACGTAGTAGTCTCTGTAGGAGCAGATGTGATGCTCCTCACGATTGATCGCCACTTCTCCCTGTTGGCCGACATCCTGGTGCACTCATGCAGGGGACCACCCACAGCTAACTTGATTTGGTCGGTCCATCGCATGCATGATCGTCCTCGTCCTCTGGTGCCTTCCACCTTGCCCTGTACGACAAGGCGCTCAATAGAGTCGCTTTTACGCCGGGAGACGTGTCCAAAGAACTTTAGGATGCGACCCTCTACTACCGCCGAAAAGCGTTGTTTAATGCCGAGTTCTTGGAGTGTGGAGACATTGGTGCGAAATTCGGTCCATGATATTCTAAGCATTCGCCTCCAGCACCACATCTCCAGAGCATCAACTTTTTTCTTATCGACTTGTCGCAAGGTCCACGTCTCTGCAGCGTATAAAAATATGGGAAAAACGAGTGTTAGAACGAGCCGGATCTTAGTGGTCTTCGTTACGTTTCAGTTCTTCCATATCTTCTTCGGCCTGTCCATCGCAGTTCTTGTTGTTGCTATACGTCGATAACAAGCGTTAAATCAAAAGCGTTATGTTTTTCTGCGCAATGTACCTTGGGCACCTTTCACTTTGAAATGTTCAGTCATTAATAATAATATTAATAGTAAAGTAAATCAACTATCCTAACAATGTATTCATGCATTATTAGCAATGCCCACGGCTCCGTCCGCGTTCAGATGACCAAAAACCATATTCTTAGGTTTTACAGATTAGTATACTCTTACATTGCAGTTTTTGTATTTTTTTTCAGAAATGAGACATTTTCCCGCGGTAAAATGTATCCTATATGTTGATCCGGATAACCAGCTATCACCATACCAAATTTCATCAAAATCTCTCCAATGGTTTTTCCGTGATGCTGTAACAGACAGACAGACAGACAGACAGACAGACGAAAATTCTAAAAGCTATTGATTCGGCCTCTGTATCGATAATAATGTTTATTTCAATAAGATTCAGTATTATATGAGATGTATTTATTTACCTTCTTTGCCTATCACATATACAAAATTACTTAAGGAGTAAACTCCAGTCGTGCGTCGGAGTTGACATAATTTTTATGTATGTCTAAAATAAGAAAATAAAATTCTTATATTTAGTATAATATATGTTATTTAAGTATTCTAGTTATTTTTATGACTTTAAAATTGCCTAGCAAGCTTGCCAATTATATTGTAAATATAGTATACGTCATAAGAATTCAACAATAGTACAAACCACATTTTTCTACCTTTTCACATAATATTTATTCATCATAATATTTAACATTGCTACAAAATTAAATCGGTAACTTACTTGATGCCCTATCTAAATGTATCACTGTTCTGTGCCACCGTTCAATAGCCTCTAGATAAGCCACAAGTCGCTGTTTACACACATTGTTTTGTTTATTTGCGACGCGGATGGACGCTTATACAAAATATATAACTAAATGTGCGAAACTGAAGTGAATTGAAAGTGATTTTGTTATTGTTAAACTAATAGTGCCTTACAGTGTCGTGTACGTTAATATTTTAAGGTAATTTTGTTTGGCTATCTCTATTTTATCCTTATAATGACTTAAAGTAAAAAATGACAGAATACATATATTTAAATACAATTTTCTAGACAATTTAGACTTTTGCAATTGAAACATTCCTTATATTTAATATGCAATTAATTTGAGCTTGATATGTGTTTATGTAAAGATGAATTTTGAGAAAATAATTAATGAATTTAGGATATATACGGTAATTTCTTTAAAAATTAAGATTATTCGTGGTCTCTAAGTGGCTGACTGTACAGTTTTTTATAATGTTTAATTATCATCATTTTTAATATCGACGTTTGATTACTTTTTTTTTATTTTTATTATATTATATAGACTCTCCGGCTAATGAGACCGGCATACCCACTAAAACCCAACTTTCCCCCTCTGCCGCCATGTGGGACGCCACGGGATCGCTCTCGCATACAACCGCGACGCCCCGACGGTTGGCCGAAGCCACCAACCATGAGGCCGCCCCAAGCGGGACAACCCCATTATGGGAAGACTTGCAACCCAACAAGTGAGGCCGCTCCTAAGTCCACTCTGCTGATCAGAGAAGTACCCGGAGCAGCCCCACACCACACAAACACCGCCCACCGAAGTGGGCAACCTGCAAAAATAATGAACCCCACCCAAATTGGGCAAACCCCCCAAAGACGCCCGCGAACGAGCCCAAACACAAACGGCTGCAGGAGAAGAGGATGCGACAACGCCGACACTCCCCTTCCCCTGCAGCCCCACCGCGTCCACCATCAACGGTGGTGGCCCCGCTAGGCCGCGGGAGATAGGGACGAGCGGCGCATCGCCATACCGACACTCCTCTTCCCCCGCGGCCCCCCTACCGTCGGCCCACCTCCGGACCAAAATGGCTGCCGACATCCCTCGCCATACGCAGGACCACCGAAATGGCCCCGCTCCAGCCGCCGCACCGACGGGCTAGCCCCGGCAGTGTGGCCCGCGCAGCACCTCCTACCGCAAAACGGCCGGAGACACCGCGCTACCTCCAAGAAGGAGACGGCGCCCTCTAACGCCGCTCCCTCAACCTCCCCTCCTGGCTGTTGGTCCGCGCCGGATTGCTCCGGTACCACAAGCTCCTGTCGGGTCCAAACAGGTGCGAGTGGTGTTCCCCTATCCGCCACCCGGGGACGCGTCCGGTAGCAGTCAGCCTCTGTGCCTCTGTGGTCGAAATTCGGTCATAATTTTTAATTAACATTTTTTTGTGAAAACATTAAAGCTCGATAGCTACTTATCAAACTAAAGAAAGAAAATCGGCTGACAAACAGAGAAAATAATACTGTTTTGTATTGGTCTATTTATATATGTATACTAGCGACTCATCCTCGCTCCGCTTGGGTTCGTCCCTAGATACGTTTTATCGGTTAGTATAGATTTCTTAGAGATATTTTCCTGCAGTAAAAAGTATCTTATATGTTGACTCAAATAACCAGTTATCATCATACTACATCAAAATCTGTCTAGGTTTTCTCGTCATGCGTTCCCAGACAGGCAGACAAAATTTAAAAAAACTATAGATTCGCCCTCTGTACCCGATAATAATCTATACTTATTATAAAAATAAGTCCCCCGGCCGCGTCTTTCTGTCCTCCTGTCTGTCTGTACGCGATAAACTCGAAAACTACTGAACGGATTTTTATACGGTTTTCAACAATAGAAAGAGTAATTCTTGAGGAAGGTTTAGGTATATAATTTATTATGCTTTTATGTAAATTAGCTGAAATACGGCGACAAATGTTGAAGAGGTCGCAAAAAATCTCGCCAAATGGGAACTTTCCACGCGAACGCCGCGTAAACTAGCAAAGATACAGTTAAGTAATGTACTAGAGAATTCAAAATCTATAAAAATGCTACAAAAAAGTCCGCGATAGCATATCTCTATCTCTTACGGTTGACTTACAATAACCACTTTTATGTTAACATTTTTAATTAAAAACATTACGTTATTTTCAAAGTTATTTTCTTTAGTTCGGTATTAATCCTTATCCAAATGAATATTTTAGTTAGCTTAGTCATTTAATGCAGATTAAAATTGCTCTTTACACTAAATCAATCAGATGAATAGTTTTTGAGATATCGTTGTTAGAAGTAATTAGT